GGGCTAGCCCCGTGCCCTCACATCTTCTCTAAAGGAGAAGGACAATGCTCTCGCACCAATGTGCGTGATTGCGAGAAACCTCAGTTAGGCAACGTATAGGAGAAAAATGGCTTCTTAGAGGATCAGCTGAAAGTGACCGAAAGCTTTTCCCCTAAAGTGTTTCAAAAGGCACCAAATGGCATTAGAACGTGATTGAATTTTATGAATTTCCCGGGAAGGGTGCCTATGTTCCCACCCACGGCCATTAAAATACCTAAAAAGCGGCAATGCTTCCTTTGGACCTCCTCAGTAATAACAAAACTAATTTCGTTCCTATGGGACTGTATGACCTTATCCAAAAGCAAATATCAGTCGATAGCACTGATGATATTCTCTTGTTTGACCAATAACAAGCATGACGAAAACACAGACCTAGTTCAGAATGCTGATATGAGGCTACCAATAACCAATCACGTTCGACTATTTTGTTATCTTTTTGCTTAATTACCGAAGCGAAATCATTTAAGAAACTTAGAACTCCAGTTGAGCTTATCGTGGAAAACTGCGAATTCAGAAGACGAAAAACATCTCCAATACAATTAATTGATACTGAAAACTGCTACATACGGCTGGTATTCACCGCTTGATCAGTTGATAAAAGGCAATTGTTGCGCCATCAGTCGGCGGGAAAGCTTGTCAACAGCATGTGTTTCATACATGGTGTTTCAGAAGATTCTTATGTGCCGTCGATAAAAACTATTTTTGGCCATTATTACTATGACCAGTGAGAACTTCTTTCATCAAGTACTAAAGATAAAATCCATACTTCGAGAAAAGGTGCAAGCTTTACTAGGTGAAAAACTGGAGACTTAAAGCGTGTTGAACACACCAACGCATTTTCATATCCTTTAATAATGGCCATCTCCAGGGTGCTTAAGATCTTATTTGTAAAGCGAACGACCAAAAAAACACAAACACAACAAAACAAAGCTATCATACCTCTTCGGTTCTCTCAGGAATGATGTAAAGTTGGAACGAATGACTGGAAAAGTTCCGCTCAAGGAGAAAACTGGTCATTTTTTAACAATGGAACAAGTGAAATGGAAATTTTCTCATGAATCTTCGAGAGACATGAATTTCTTTCGGCCAAACTAGTGTCGTGGTTTGAATGTTAAACATACAGGCCTTAGGCTATCAATTCACAATTATTTGAAAGACACTTTGTTTGACCGTGAGTTCAAACAATGCAACATCACACTGACAATTATTTCCGATTTCCTTTTCCCAATAATGAGTTCTTTGTTGTGGTTCTGATAAACTTTTACGATGTTGAATACATTATTCGGCATTCAGCTAGTTCCGATCAATTATTTCCACAACCATTTAAGCAATTTACTTTTGAAAGCAGGTGATCTCGTTAGCGGTTGAAAAGCTACGTGAAGTGAAGAAGCCTCCAATTCAGGTTAGCTCGAGTGGTTTTGTCGCTTTGTTTTAGTTCAAGATAGTGGGAATACCTTAATCGGTTCACATACGGTTTGTTCTCAAAAGTTTCAACACGGCCTCGTTCGTACATTATAAATTTCCCTTTGTTCGGCTCTTAAAAGATCTTCAGTAAATGTGCTTTGATTGTAGTGCTGTACTGTATTGAGGCTATTACGAGAGGGTTGGGCTCATTTAAACCAGTGTGGTTCTGTGATAGATAATTGTTTGTTCGAATATCGATAACCCACAAATGTGCTAACGAAATAATGACTAGATAAGTGGGTGAGGTGAAAAAGTACTAGTTTCCATTCGGTGCTAGAAGGTATTGCAAGTTGCAGAGGCACTATTTAAGTGTTTGACCTGTAATGTGTCGTGAAGCCAAGCGGCATCTCTACGACAAAGATACTAAATCATTGATCATGTCGGAGAAAAATAATAGCTCTATTATTTGACAAATCCCATAAGTAGACATGTCCTATTTTTTCACAATCCGTTGATCCTTATGTACAACTTTCTTTCTTCAACGTTTAACGTATCCCATAAGACAGAAAATTCCTTGACGTCATGGCAAACTCCGTTACAGCTTCATGGTTCATGAACACGATTTGTCGGCAAAAGCTTCTAAGCGGGGAAAGCTTTTTTGTTTTCCATTGACCAAAGTAATTAAAGCTCCCTAGTAAAATGGTTCGAGCTTATTCAGTTTCATTTAATACACAACTGATTCATCATTACAGTTACAGTTAATGAGATAGTCATCAGTTATATTTTATCTGTATACCTGATCATAAATTCATTGAAGTGCGACATGACTTCTACTCTGAAGTAAAAGAGGCACCACCTGAGCATTCAAGAACGCGATATCACATTTTTTTATCAGGATAATCGGTTTGAAATAACTAATTCGTGTTCAACTTTACTTTAACAGCTACGCAGTGAATTATTCGACAAAAGAGCAGAAGTGTTAGAAATACTGGAGAGATTTTCTTGAAATTCAAACTAACTTCATTGTGAAAGTGCAATGGCTCAAGCTTATCCCAACTAACTAATGTATAAAAATGGCTCAGAAACGAAAAGAACTAGCAGAAAAACAAAGGAAAACTGACAAAATGTTGGATAGTCTTGTCAACAAAGACAGGGGGTGGCGGCGACTGATGTATTACTATGGCCGAACGATGGAACAAATTGCGTCCTCTTGACTAACTTTACCCTAGATGGTTAACACAATGTAACCGTGAAAAAAAAAAGATGGCAAATTTCTTTTTACACAAAAACGTTGCACCCTTAAAAAAAAAAAACACTCGATTCAATGGGCAAAATTTGGAATGAAAGCCGGGGGCGTTTCATCGAGAAAATGCGGTACCTCGTAAAACTATACTTGTCAATATCAAGGGATCTAAAACCACATTGGCCGAAATCTCTTTGCCACATCTGATACTGATGTTTGATATGTTGCAGCCTAGAAAACAACTGAAGGGCTGTTATTGTTTATTTGTTCTCTCATACAAATTTGCTCGAGGGACTAGTTAATTAAATGAGATTGTAGAAAGTCCCATCGAAAACCTGAAAAACATACCACTTGGTGTTCCAGAAACCATATACGTCTGCGATAAAGTAATTATTTGAAGTTTACTACTCTATAAAATGTTCCAAAAATTAAAAAATATAGTACACAAGCACTGAATTTTCCTCTCAGTATTCAACGATCCACACTTTGATTTAGCAATTAGCAATTTTCCGCCAAAGTTACGTTAGCAGCTGCATTTTTACTCGTTAAAGACACAAAATGTGAAAATATCAGCGTGTCTCTCGAAAGACTCGATCTTGATCATAATAAAAGTGCAAATTGAAGTTGAAGAAGACTGACAAAAAAAATTAACTGCTCAAGCGTATCTCAAAGAACTAATATATAAAAATGGTTCAGGGACGAAAAACGCTAAGGAGGCTATTATAAGAACACGAAGAACGTATTGAGTATGTATTTTCAACAAAGACAGGTTATAGAGAGTGGAGTCGTACCAATTCTAACACCTAAAGTCTTTTGGGGAACAAAGTTCCTTATGCAACTAAAGTGCCAGTAACGATAATGATATATTGGTCAAAATATATATAGAAACTCAACTACGAGGAAATCTACCCACTGCTCCAATACAAACCCTATAAAGATATAGTTAGCATCAAGTTCAAAGAAGAAATGTCGTCGAAAAGTTTATTATGACATATTTAAATGTCATCATTTGGTTTTTTTCTTCTCTTTTTACATCTAGTGAGTCTATAAGAAAGGCGATCTCTGGCTGGAAAGAGGTCGAAGCTGCTGAAAAATCTCTTTGGGAGAAAAAAGATCGAATATAGACAGGATCATCTTCACAGGTAACTGCTTAAATTTTTAAGACTGCATTTAGATCAACGGTACCTTAAAATACTAATCTGCCTCAGCAGAATATGAATGGAAGTCTGCGGCGTTCTACTGATCTCTCTTATACTTATTAAATTACTGCGAAATTACGGAAAATTCAGCTCTGAACAGGGAAAAGTCCTATGAAATGGATCAACAGTTCGAGAATCTTGGCAACCATCTTGCATGGGGCACTTGAGATTGAACACCATTTTTCTGTCAAAATAGTTAGGGCTTAAGAAATATATTATGTAGATAAAATGACGTAACTATTATATCAAAACCATTGGCAATGTTCATCCCCTAAAACAGAATACATATTTTGCCTAACTACCGCGAAATTTACCAAGACTAAGTTGATGACGGCGGTCCATGCTATGCCATCTATAAGAACTTTAAGGTGCCGCACTGATAACGCAAAAACCTAATACTGTAGTTAATGTGCTATTTTTAAATAATAAATAATGGTTACAGCTGGACAGACGGAAAGGCCACGAAGTGCTTTCACTTGCACAATAAGTGAAGGGCCTTTTGATTTTTGTTTCGTGACATTTTCGGTCATCTTCTTCGATCGTTTTCTCGAACAGTTTTGAGTGAGAAGGCCAGAGCTGACCGGAAGAGAAGGCCACTGGACCTTCCAAAACATTTTTACACTCAATTATTAAAACTCAGCGCATGGTAATAGCCAGTCGTGCATTTGTGCATACCGTCGCTCTTCCTATGAGTATCGTTGTGGGTAAAATATTGATATACCAAAGCTGAGAATTAACGATATCCACTCGAGTTATTGTGAGTACATCGCGTGCGTCTGAGCCCTCTGAGTACCTGAAACTCTTTCTCTCGCCGTAGGGCAGAACCACTGTCATTCTCTTAAGTGTCATTAGTGCAAAACGTCGACGCACGCAAAATAGTATTAATAAAAGCATTATTAGTTGTTCAATGAAGCTGCCATCCCTAACAGGCCAGAAATCCTGTTTCAATGCAGGCTAGGGGCCGTTTGGGTAAATGCGCCATTTTAAGATCCTATAGCGGCGCCGCAAAAGCCTTGTGAGAGTATGACCGCAAGTAAAAGAAATGATCATCGCTTGTTGAAGTATTGGAACACTTCAGTTTAATGCCAAAGTGTTTTTAAGTGTTTACCAATGCAAAGAATGATACTATTTTAATTGTATTTGAAAAGAAAATTTGATGCGAATCAGGAGCACCTTTTCTGGCGAATGTAAGACAGCAGTGGTACGAGTAAGATCATGGTGAAACAAGCGGAGAGTAAGAAAAATTACGCAACCGCGGCGTGGACATAAGGTTAACATCTCTTTCACCCTATATCGGTCTTAAGTGGTTAGCAATTATGCCATCTTGAAACTTAATCATTTGGACTGTGCCATAGAGAAACAAATATGCAAGCTGGGGGTACGTTTGTCTGAAAATTGTGTTAATTATAAAGCATTAATGCTAGGTATGGCTGGGTCAATTGGAAGAGACGTAATGTTTTTCATTTTGGACGGTGAATTCATCCCTTCGACTTCTTACCATCATAGAGCAGTCTGTTTCCTTCAAAACTTTCCATTTAAACTTGGAGACAGGAGGGCTGCGGATGAAAGCATAAAGCAAAGTTCAGCGATGTTGCGTCTCTCATTGGGACTCAAAGAAAAAAAATGGGAAGACATAGGGACGGAGCTTTAGTAAAGGAGAATTGCAAAAATTAGCCAATAACTAAAGCATTACAAATTCGAAAGCGCTTGATGTTTAGAAGTGTGAAAGCATAGAACCTTAGCTACGTTTGTGGATGAGTGATTTTAATTTACCAGACACGAGAGATATTTCAAGATAAATTAATTATAGTCAAATTTTTCTCGATTCTTCTTCGAGTACATCTTGAGGAAAAAAAAAACGTGAGAAGAAATAACTGCATTCGCGCAAAGCTAATTGCAGTAATTCGTCTCTTTCATTTATTTTCAGTTGCTTTCAAACATTGATAAAACTACTTACGGCTGTCATTAAAATAATGTTCTATTTATCCCGGATGTATAAGTGTTCAAGAGAAGTTTGTCAAAAGTGATCTATATTTAGCCATTACCTAAATGACATCGTCATTCTCATTCAGGTGAGTGCGAGCCACACAACCTGTATAAGCGTTCATCTCTTAGAAATTAGGATACAATTTAAGGTGGGTATAAAAGATTTAAGGGAAGAATGCAAGATGAGCGTTGAGTTATGTTATGTCGGCTTCTGTTGGTAATTTAATACCTAGAAAACGAGTCAAAATAATGTAACTTTCGTCATGCCACTTATCTGTTGTTGTGATGGATAGGGTAAGGAAAGTAACAAGTTTTCTCAAGAAGAGAAAAATTATGACGATTTTATTAATCGTAAGACAAATATTACCTTTCCACTGCGCTCTATCGTCTCCGCTGCGTTTGACGTAATATGTTGCAAACATCGGTTTCATAATTCATATTCATGGAAATAATTGATAGAAGTTTCCTTTTCATTAGTCTCTTAAGCAATGGAAGTTTAGAAGCAGAGCCAAAACTTGCACTTTTTGCTCGAGATACATGTAATTTACATAATGAAACGATAATAACCTCAGTTTAAATGAAATTTTTCATGATTATTTGTTTGGTATGTGTAATGCAATGCCTCGTAAGTTATTATTCGGAATACAATATGAATTCCTCTAGCCCAATTTAGTTCCCTGACACCTTAGTTTTATACACGATCAAAACTGCTATCAATTTGCATATCCACACGACGAGGAAAAACGACATGGTCATTAACGGTCTAGAATTATGTTGTTCCTTCTTTATGTAAACCACAAGGAAAAAAATTCACAAAAAAGGCACACCTTACATTTGACACACTGTTCAATTAATTACTTAGCAGAAAATAACCATAATTGTTGCGACATATTCGTTTGATTTTAATAACGTCACATCACATCTTGAGGGAAGAAATTTACCTCATCTCACTCAAAAGGTTTAATCCATTTCGGAACCTAGTTAATGGTTATTTTCAAATAAGGCCTTACAGGTAATTGAGAACATTCGAGAATCTCAATGGCTTGCCAAGCCTGTAAAGTAATTTAGACTCATTGTTGTATCTTGGATTCTAGACGACCTTAAATGACAACTCAAGAATGGGAGCAATCGAAGTTTAATCAAAAGACGTCTAGCCAGAAAAGACTAAAGATTCTCGAAAAGTGCAACCTCGTTTTTCCGACGGAGTCAAGAAGTTAAGTTAACGCTTTGTCGCAAGTGACACGTTTTGGTAAGTGTTTTTACAACTTTTTCATTAATGTAAGAGAGTTAGAAGGCCTGATTGGAGCTTATTGTGTAACTATCCACAACAGTACAAGACAACAGTTATGTTCAATCACAGCATTCTATCTCGTCAACGAAAAGCATGTAACAGCTCCAGCATAGTATAGTATTCCTACATTCAAGAAAAATAATCATAATAACCATAAATTCGAGAAATTTCTTCACTTTGCTAGCATTGAATGAAAAGAAAACGTGCGCATGTTTTATTTGTGACTCTCTGTATTGTTGCTGTTTCTTCAGCTGCAACTCCATATATAAAATGAGAAGTATTTTTAAACATCATCAGTGGTGCAATTGAGCGTATCACGGAGGGCCACTATAGCCGAGGAATCTACGCTCATTCGAAACCACGTGCACATCTATTTTTTTATTGCAGTCTTTACTTACTACTCTTTTAATAAACATATTTTAAAAAATTATACGATTAAAATACTGGAAAAAGCATCTACACGTACATCTTTTGTGATACAATTTGCGTTTTGTTTCAAACTGCAATTCGGACCAGACGTACACTGCTTGTTTCCAGGATTCGACATTGATTCGACTAGATTACTTTAATGCATGAACTACGAAACTGAACGCAACTTGAAATTTGCATGATAGATCCCTCACATGGGGTCGAATCATTAATAACGCGGCGGTGTTTCGAGGTATTTGATGTGATTTCGTCCTTGCTCAAGGACAGGTAGAATGGAAAGTTGGTTTCATAGTCACGCAAAGTCATAATCAAGTCTGTTCTTTTATTAATACTGTTATCATGCTTTTTCTCTCTATTATCCAGTTTTTCGGCAAGTTTAGAAAAATGGCGATACAACAAATATATATTTGCCAGAAAGCGTTTTTCCCAAAGACATATTTGCACTATGCAAAACTCGTTAAGGAGATCTCAAAATGTATTGGTTGAGATGTCGTTGCCGCAAGTGATATTGATGCTTCAAATGTTATCGCCTATAAAACAACAGAAAGATTATTGCGATTACTTTTTCTCTCTTATCCAGAGGAATAGTTGAAGTTTTACAGGTAAGAGTAGTTATTGAAAGATATTGAGAGAAGTCAGGGAGAACGAGTAGTAAGTGACAGCTTGTGTTTCAGCATAATAGATCTCTGAGGTAAAATAAGTATTTGAAGTATGCAATCCTGTCGATGTGGCAAAAATTTAAAAAAAAACAACAACAAAACAAAATAAAAAAAGAAAGAAAAACGGTAAAGAAAAGTTAGATTCGAAACATATGGGTGCAGTAAATTGGGGACTTATTGCTTCCATTTCAAAATCCATAATTTAAGCTCAACATTATTTATACACTGATTTTAAAGGTGTGTATAGAAGATTTAAAGCTCGATTCCTCTGTCTAACTCTATAGCAATAACCCTGGTTCCTCCGCAGAACTCTTTCCTGTTATAGCTCTCGGGTAAGGCAAATTACCTATTGCTTAATTGCTTATTCATAACTATTACACATGATATCATTTGAAGATAAATTTGCGTGTAAAACAGATTTTAACAAACGTCACTTTAGATGCTTTTTTTTTGGCTTTTTCACAAATTTCGTGCCCTCATTATTATTTGCTTTGACCCCTTCATAAGTGGAGAGGGTGTTCACTACTAGTAATTTGTCACTCGAAGAAACAAAAAGCGTTATGCATGCAGTGAGCTTTTACGCAACATCTGTCTTCAAATCTTTGTTGTCTACAGCATTTGAAGCTGAAGCATCTAGTGTATTAAGTATGATTGCATAATAGTTTCTCCGCTGATGTCGCCTGTCAAAAGCAGCTTGAAAAGGGTGAAATCCGAATAGAACTCCATATATATTTGTCGATTTTTGAGTTAGACAGCTTAAAAAGGTTTGAAACCTTCTAACAGTTTGAATTATTTAGCATAACTAAATTATTGTACTAAATATTATTATATTTGTATGCTGCTAAAATTTCCTAATCCCTTTAAAGTGATTCCTCAGAAAAAAAAGGTATCGAACATTTTTTTTAAACTGTCCTTAAATGTTCCCTACCAAGGTCTGTTTCGAAAAATAGAATAAAAAAAAAAAAGATGGTTCACCTTGCTTGTTTAGGAGATATAATCGGCAAAACTTACACCATTTAAGCCTGTACTGGCACTAATCACGTGCGTCATTTCATTGGTTCACGGTACATTTTGCTGCAGCTGGAGCAAGGTTTTCAAAGTAACAACTGAAAAAAAATTTCATAGAAAAAAAATCTCGGGCGTATTGAACAATTTGATATATAATTTTCTGGCAAATTTAAGGGCTTTTTCCCCATGCTTTTCTTCTCTTCCAATGTTAAGGGTTCTATTAGGGTTACAAGAGCACCGGCTGTACCTCAAACCTAGCCACTAATATAGTCAGACTATGCTGACTCTGTACGTATCATTTTGGTTCCACGTCTCCCGCATCAGAACAAATAAAAAAACCGCCCCAAAAAAGGAGATCCTGTTTCTTTTTTCTCTCTGATGTTTATCTTTATCAACATTTTTTAAAACTATTACATGAGAACCCCACCACGCCGAAAATGTCGGCATCAATAGGTTTATACTGGAATCATCCGCCGAAAAAGTTACCTAAATCCAAAAAAACACCTAGAAAATGCACAATATACGAAATTATTGCCAATTTCAGGAAGATTAACAGTGAAATGACACGATATGTATTTTTAGATCGTTTTGATAGAAAAGATATTCAACAAACCATTCACATTACATGATGAACGGATGTAACCAATATGGCGTGTCGAAGAAATCACACTACTCTAAGACTCCACGTAATTGTGCCACAGGGAGAAAAATTTATTTTGAATTACCACTGAAAGGCTATGGATTGTGAGAGGGGTCAGGGCTCGTTTAAAGTAATTTCAGAAAAGCCCATCTTCAAACTTTTTTGTCATTTTAGATTTTCTCCTCTCAATACGAACGTTTTCCAAAACAAAATATATCCTTCCGATTCTTATACCACTGACTGCCCAGTTTAAAACGGTTTTATTCTGCATGTATAATAAAACTTTCATAAGGTTGTAAGGGGATGTCAATCTCGTGAAGTGGACTTTATCAAAAGTTTTCTTTGCTAAGGTAGTTCCAAGTAGATTCCAAGCTCCCTTGCATTGCCTAAAAGTATTGTCAGACTCACACAGATTGCATTCAATCATCTTGTACCAAGCCTACCTTCTAGTAATGACCCAGTGCCAGATAGAAGTGAAAAAGAGTCTGCAAAGTCTGAAAGAAAAATAAGACATATCATAAAGATACCTAGATTAAAGAAAGTTTTTATCTTTCTTGGGCCTCATACATGCTACTGAAGGATAAGCTTCACCGCAGTTTCCCCCTCCGCCAGCTAACTTAGCAGGCATAGGGGCATAAATTATATAATACTGCCAAGACCACATTCATCACTAAAACTTTTAAACATTCTCAAAAGAAGCAAACTAATAGAGATATTTACCTGTTTGCTTCTTAGTTAACAGCCTGGTACCAATTTAAGTTATTGGTGCAAGTTTCCATCATGACATCAAACATCTGCTTGTTTAGTAATTTACGTCAAAATGGCTGTTAGCATGCACAAAAAAGGCCTGCACAAAACACCAAACCGTTACCATGACAATACTTAATTAAAATGATGTGAAAAATAACATAGGTTAAACTAGGATCTTTATTCTGTTTGTCGTCTGGCTGCTCTCAGCGGCACGTCAGAATTCCCTCGAGATTTCGGGAGTGACGCAGTCAATCTGCCATTTTTAGCTGCATAACAATGGCGGCGAATGGATTCAACGGTCGATTCACTCCTTCTCACGTTCTAACCATAAACATATGCCTAAATATATTTAAAGCACATTATTACACAAAAACACATATCCCCTTGAGTAAACATTGAAATACAAATTTGAAGAGATAGATAATAGGTTTTAAATTTTCAATAAGCTATAATCTATGCTATGGACTTTGGGACAAGGCGTCTTAGAAAAATCGGCTATATGCAAGGTTCTTGAGAAATATCAGTTTTGTATGGATTGAAAGTTATGCACTGTTCTGTGAGTTCCCTGCTTGGTTTGTTGTTATAATTTCCCCGTGATATCGATCATTGCAAGGCTGTCTTCTTGGAGAATTGGAGTAGATGAGGTCCCAGGGCAAACAATTAAGGTTTCAGAGAGAATAATAATCCTTTAAAACCCTATGAAAATTTACCTGAAGTTAGTCAAAGTTTTAAAGTTTTCAGTCGATACTTATGTACTCGGAGAAGGAAAATATGAAGGTAAATTCAAAATCCGAGCAAAGAAACCCAAAAATATTACGAAACACCATTGCCTTACAGCTGTTTGCAAATGCCAATTCATATAGTTTTTCTTGTTTGATCACGTGGAGATTGTACAATTATATATGGATTTACACAGAATAAATAAAAATTTGGGATTTGTAACTTGAAGCTCCATCGGTTCTAAATGTTACCAAGGCAAGCTTACCTGGCGCAGCCTTGGTCGAATCATGAAAAGCCAATCTTTTTGCATCGGTGTGGGAATGAACAAAAGTCTATAGAGGAGGTTCTAAAGAAATTAAATGATGTGAAAGTAACATTTAGACAAACAAAGAATGCTGGAAAGGTCTCTCATTTGAAAGGGTCTCTCATTTGGAAAGAAGGAGCAGTTACATAAGTCTACATACAAAACGGTTAATCAAGTTAGTTCTTGCTGTCACGTGCCCGGCAAGATTAATCACGCGTATCAAGCTTTTCATCAACTCTCTTGTTAGATGAATGTACAAGTCAAGGAAGATTACTCCAGATCTTCTAGAAGATTCCAATTACTTAACAACTGGCAAATTGTTTCTTGGTATGTATAGATGCACCTGTTGCAGAAAAAAAAAACGTTTAGTAGCTTATTCTTAAGATTGCATGAGGACACTATTGCTGTACGAGTTGTATTTAGTTTTCTGGTCACGTACGCTACAACACTGCTTTCCTACAACGTTTAACTGTTGATAATAATTTTATCATGTTCACTCAATGTTTCTAATGGGAAACGGATGCAAGAAGAATTAAGACCAATTAAGATTCCCGCCCTTTTCATATCTCTAGAAATTTTATTGAGCTGCTTTAATCATCCCACACAACTCGTAACAACGTAGTTCTCGTCAGGACAAACTGCAGCTCCCAATCTTCGCACCACCACTTTCTCGCTCAATTTGAAAAACTCTACATGTTAATAGCAAAAAGGAAACAAAGAATACCTTAAATAGCCCCACATGATATTGCTTCGGGCAGTGCTAGGACAATATTGGTGATTGTTGGCAGAGAGCCATATCTGCTCTGTTCAAAGAAAAAGAAGACCAGCTAGGATGTGAATTTGTAGCAAAGTGTTTGCCTGATGTATATATTTCTTTTTTTATTTGGCAAAGCGACTCACTTGAATGAGTTTTCATTCTAGGCAAAGCTTTGAAAAGGCTCCCAGATGTGTCTAAGGGTCTAGTTCATCCATTAACATGTTTCAGTAAACTGTAAACCAGAATGACAACTTAATTTTAATGATGTGATATTGAAGGAAAATTAACTCTGTTCTTGTCTCGAAATAAGCACTTTCCGAGATTGAAGGTATTAACTATATTGTTTTTGTTTATGAAACCCGAAGGCTATTAAGAGGCTGAGAGAGGGCCAAGGTTACCACAATGCATTTTTGTAACTATCCCTGTTCGTTCAATTCAAGACCTAGAAAGCAATGAGAAAACTTATTTCACCTGGTAATTCGTGGAATGTAGGATACACATGCGTTAAAAGGAAATCAAACCTTTAGCTTAGTTGCAGTCATATTAAAATCAACTAAGTGTGCCGGGAGCAAGATATTTCTTGCGACGTTTTCAGCCAACACAAACATTGCCATTTACGCGGTGGTCTATATTCACTTACACTCTTTCCAACGAAAGACGCAACTAAATGTTTTCCTTTCACAATCGAAAGCTATGTTTAATAGAAGTCGTCGCACGCCGAACGTTAATGACTTTGATAGAGTAATTCAAACGAGGCCGTATAAGGTAGAGTAGTTCAGATGTCAAACTTTGTCACTTAGGAGCCGATTTCCATTGTAAACAGAGAATCTTTGTTCTCATTATGTATTAGTAATTACTAATCAGAAAACAATTGGCGAAAGGCAAAGGTAGAAAGCGTGTCGCCTTTTGATTACTTGCCTTTTTCGTAGGCACGAGCTAAAAACGGAAGCTTGGTAAAAAAAAAAAATCAGCTTTCACCGCTCGGAGTCTTCTTGTGTAAGTGGGTAAACTAAATTATAAGTTAGTGTTAAGTTCCAGGCGGCTTTCCTGAGCATTTTGAGCCGTACACGCCACTCTTTTTGGTTTTAAAGACTTCTTGTAAACAAAGCAGGTTCGCTTTAATTACCATTGACTTGCGCAGGATCACCGCCACGAAAGTTGAATGCTGCTTAGTTAAGTTCCTTAAAAATATTTCAGTTTGGGGATTCATACGTTTGTCCTATGCCTGATGTCAATGTAACCTTCACCATGCGTACAATTTTCCACAAAAATTGATTAGAAACATACACTTCAGGTGTTAGCTTTCCCTGTGCCAATTTTTATTGAGTATGAGAGCGGCAGCATTAATTGCAAGTCGACTCTTTCTCAGGAGCTTCTAAGTTCACATTCACACTTTCACAGTCTTAGGTACAGGTCAGCCTCAGATTTTACATAGGTTAAAGAGGCATGTTCCTTTCTAAAGTGAAACTATTTCTATTTCGTCAGGCCGTTGAAAATGCTGTTTTCCGTTACCCAAGTCATGGTTGTTGTGTTACTATTAGCCGCCACCACGGGCAAATCGACCCACAGACTACAACAACCTTCGGACTGCCGAAAATCGAAAGGCTACCTCATCATGGGGAAGGCCAACTGTAGCTTCAGAATTACAACTTTTGGTTGTCGAGGCGGCTGCTTGTCGTCGGCGAAACCTTTCAGCTATGGAACTGGATTTGCTTCGAGTTGTGGGTGCTGTGCACCTATCGAAGATACTATTGAAGAAAAAACGGTAACCTGTTGGGGGGAAAGGAAAGTGATTCGCTATCCAGTGGCAAAAAGATGTGCCTGCAGAACATGCAACTGACAGAGTCTCATTTTGTCTATTCTTGGTCGAATTGTAGCTTAATTCAAAACAGCGACTGAGCAATAAGTCATCAAAAGGAATTTAAGATAGCAGATGTATTTCAGGTTTTGATGCGTTTCCGAAGGTAACCCCACAACAAGACCTGAAACTTTGTTAAAAAAGTTCTATCGACAACAGGTTTAAGGTGAACACTAATTTAAAAGTTAACGCTGCCGTATTTATGGCCATGTATTATATTTATGATTCATTTTTGTAACCAGCTATTTGAACGTACAGTTAGCTTACAATACCTTTATAAGTGTCAATCAAGTGCAGAGGATATTGTGCTTCGTACAATTGCACATTTAATGAAAACCAACTGGAGAACAACTTACAGGAGATTATGCAATAGTGGTGCAACTTCTCAATATGTTGATGGAAAGCGGTCGCATAAAAAGCCATTAAGAGAAATTGGAGTGAAAATCATGCGATAATCTCTTCAGGGTATAATCCAATATTAAATGAGATATTTGCGATTTTAACGGTTTGGCATCTGTCAAGATGTTTTTCATTGGAAAAGACAATTAACATTAATGTGAAAGAGACCATTTTTGCCTTACGGCAAGTTTCGATTTCACGACCAATTTACGTATATTGTTTTTGTTCGCAAACCTGCCTGAAATATCATCGATCCAAAAGAAAAAGAGACTGAACAAAAGCAAACACGGTTAGGGGACACTATAAGATAACAGAGGCGACAGCCTTTTACATATGTGCATAAAAGGGTTGATTACGTAGGGATTGTATGTATATAACCTTAAACCTACCACAGGTAATTGTAAATAATCTAAATAAATGTTTTCCCATTAAATCCTTGTAATAAGGAAATTCAGACCTAATGAAAATAGTCCGTAAAATCCCTAGTTAATGTTTATTTAAATGCTTCCTTTGTTTTTGGTTGTAATGGTAAGCAGCTATTGGCGATCAAGAGCCTTCTCTCCACTCTCCCCAAAGTGGCAACTGAAAATTTTCGCTAAATCGGATATTTGTACCAGCTCCTAGATAAATGGCTTTATTGGGAGGTCTCACAAACTTTCACCCACTGAAATGCTACTTCAGTCGTGCAGGTGTATTCTCAGTTGTACCAAAATGTAGAGATTTGTTTTCTCGATGGCCTACAGTATACCCTGAGTCCTACAGACGCCTGTTTAGATGAAGACTACGATAATTTTCTGCTCAATAAAGTTTTAAGCTCTCTGAAAACTCCAAGCTTGCAATTTCTAACGATAGAAATCATTTACCTCATAGGAAAGAGGAACTATTACCATTATAATTAAAATATAATGACCTTAACTGGTATTGTATTTATTGGATTTCATTAGCAAAGAAAAAACGGGCGACCGGTATCTGGTATATGTAAAGAAAGCTTCGGAAGAAACACAATAAAGTGCTACTCTGGTAGAAATTTTTGGCTGCTTCTTACTGTATCTGTAGTTGCCGTAAAGTTTTAGTGTTCGCATTTACTGAATAGAAATTCTAAACATTATCGAAATCAGGAATTTCTTTTCGTAAACGTTCATAATCGTTGCAATCACTGTTTAGAACAACTGATTTAATTTTTACTGAATGCAAAAAAAAAATTGATGAGTTATGATAGTTACTTGCTTTTTTATTTTTTAGATGGCCAGAGATGTAATGCAAAGGTTTTCATGCAAAATAATAGGATTAACTAAAGACAAACTAACGCGGATAATACAGTCTAGGAAAACACCACAGGGAAATGTCAGGAATGGCCATTTAAATTCGACAACAATCTTCAGTAGAATACAATAGGGAAATACATGAAACATATTTTATGACAATATAGAGTAATAGCTAGGATGAACGTAAAATGCCCTAGTTTAAAAAAGAGTAGCGCACCAACTAACGAATAAAGACTTCTAAAGTAATTTTATTGAGGCTGAACACAAAGTTAGTCGGTGGATTTTGAAGCCAGAAAATGAATGTCATGTAACCTTTCAATCTGTTGCTGCAAGAAAAAACTCACTAAGAATAAAACATGCTATCATCAGATCACCTACTCACTAACTTTCAATTCAATTTTTTTCACTTTTATGTATACCTTCTTGCTAAGATCGTCAAATGATATATCTATGAACAGTCTTAAAATTTGTTGTAGTTCTCTGTTTAAGCTGAAAGTTCCTCCCTATTATGTATGACACAAAAGCAGGTCACCTGTAAGTGGCTCTCAGTCCAGAGGAAGTAACTAAAAGCAAAGAATATGAATTTTCGGTTTTCAAGCGAAGAGTGCTCTACTGCCGTTACATTCCAATTGTTTGCTGGAACAATCTATGCGGAGAAAGTAACCACATTACTAACGGGCTGAACAGTCAAGTGAATGTTGTAGTATCAACTAGTTCTAAACATACATAGGCTAACATGTATATGTCACACACTGTACATTTGTTCAACAAGCGACGTCCATTTCATCTCTTTTGTGAACGGAGACCTGTGCACAGTTGTCCTATGGTTGTCGAGAGCATTTCAAACAGCATTCGAGATCTAAAAGCTCTTTAACTATACATACTTGCGATTACCTTTGTGTAAAATTTGGTTGTTCCTCGAACACCAACATCATCCTTAAGTTTTAGATGAATCATATCACCCCCTTGTTTTCTCAGAGCAATGTTCCACGAATTCGCAGAAATTGGCTTTTGTTTTGAAAAGCTCTCTTTCAAGGTTCAGGTCTTTAAGGGAACATGAATTTATGACAACTCAAACTATTATCATTTGTTAAGAACTCCCCTGTAGAGTCGTGAGCTCTTATAATACGGTATACCACGAGTTTTCATAGCTGCAAATACAACTCGATCAAAATTATCGAAATACCTTCCAAACATAAGAAGATACCTCAACCTCACTTGTCATTAAAGGGGCAAAAGTATCGAAAAATGAGCACCAAGTTAAGTAAGCTTAAACGCTTCATGACCTAAAATTACATTGTCTTAGTCAAGTTCTTTTCTGTAATTTATTTGGTGACAGGAGCGGATGAGTTAACTCTGCACCATTTAGGGGGAATATTTGCAACAACTGCAACGATTAAAATGAAAAATGAGGTGAACGAGAATTGCATGAAAGGACTTACAACTAAAACAAAGTTCATGCATTCTTAAATTGTTTTTATTTCAGTATCCCTTTATTGTCATATATCAATCAGAGCGATTCCTAAGGACATTAGTTGACAAGAATGATTGAGTAGATTAATTGTAGTTGTTAATTGTAGTTGTTAATTGTAGTAGTTAATTGTTTAGCTACATTTTGCTAGTTGTAACTTAACGCGGGGAAGGGGCGATATTTATAATGCCAATTTGTTACTCTCTATTGATTCGTTGTCGAAGATTTAGTGTGATTTTTTCGTAAATGATGAAGAGGTCTCGAAACAGGTTGTGAACCTTAAATAAAGAAAGAAATAGCATTTCTTCTAGCCTTTCTTGAAGGAATTAATATTGAAATACATATTCATTTAAGTGGTATTGAAATTCACACCCATAAAGGAAAAGGTAACTTTTTTTCGCTTTCAGGTTTTGGCCTTAAAAAAAAAATTAGAGCGGTCCTCTTGAAAACGCGTTTGGTTAAGAAATAAATTATCAACTTGCCGCAGACAGCCACTCTAGAGCTGTTGCTTTTGGCGATATCGTCACGGAGTCGAGCGTGATTTGAAAGGAAATATGCAAAATGGCTTTGCAGGATTTGTGAAATAATCGAAGAAACGATTTTGCACAAGAATCACACATTAGGACATTTAATGATTGCCAAACCTCATTAATGGTACACGCATGGTTAAGTTTAATCAACATCATAGCAGTAGTCTTTTTTGCGATGAACGCTCCATTTAAGGTTTAGTGTTGTTAAGCTACTGAATATTATTTTTGGCCTTAAAAGGAACCACTCATATCATACTTCCATCACTCTATGCAGGGGGCAAAAAAGATATTCTTGCCTTTGGCGTTTTGGTTCCAGATAGCTAGCCAAAAACACATGCAATTTTTTAAATTGGCAATGGAAATGTAAACAGCCTTTTGTCGTCACAGATGGAAGTACTAAACAACTCGAGATTTCCACAGTTCCCACGCTCCTAAAACCTGCATTAGTTTGATGCAATTAGGGGCATTGAATTCGGAACTTTATGTTTGTAATGCATGTCGAACTCCAGTGAGATTTACCTGCAGTCAAAACTACAAATCATAAACTGAGCAACTGGTTTACTCAACGTGCATAGAAACATAACGTAAACATTCATTCGAAATCGTTTAGGGTAAATGTTTACTGAGGCCAATGAAACATCGAATGACAGTAAAAGGTACAAATATTTTCCAGTAAAACACATAAAATTGTCATATACGGCTGACTGAGTAAATTCTTCGACATAAGTCAGTTTAGCAGGGTAATTTAGTTTCATCAACTGAGTTGGTAACGTAAATTGGTCACCGTAAAGAGTTTAAAGTGTGACGTTTCGAGCGTTAGCCCTTCGTCAATCGCTCTGACGAAAGGCTAACGCTCGACACGTCAGCCTTTGAACTCTTTACGGTGGCTAGTTTACGTTATCAACTCAGTTGTTTTGTTAAGTTACCCCGTTCTACTCTCCCACCGACGCAGCACCACAATTTCTTTAGCAACTTACCCCCTTTATTCGTAAGTCAGTTTAGTTCAGCTGATGTAAATAATATATTAAAATTACTTCATATCGTATGAAACGCTTCAAATAACTTGTAAGAACTAAGGCATCAAATGTTGTTGCAGACTGTGCATGAACATTTAATTAAACATTGCTACGCGTTACGCTGTGGACACACCTAGGGAATTAAATTTCACCTAGAAAAATCTGTATAAATCAATGATATAGTTATAAATCACTTTAGGACAACGGTGATTTTGACTACAAAAACCATCTGTGTTTAGTTTGGTGAAATATAATGCATCTCGTTCTCGCCCTCTTTTAAGTGACACTAAGGTTTAAAGAATGTAAAGATCATGATAGTACCAATATATTTTCTGTTGCATTTATTACCTTTCCCTTATTAAGGATTACCAATTGACATATAATGCCTGTTTCATAACATGATAAATTGACAAGTAGCATTTTAACTGATCATAATTGAAAACAAGTTCTAGAAAGTGAGATAAGCAAATATATAGGCTGAAAGCGTCTTTTATTTAATTAATCAAAGTGCTGTGAAGTAAAAACAGTTACTGCGGATTGTATATGTGATGTTCCAGCGCAACATGTGAGTGTCACGGGAAAACTTAAAGCTACAATAATCTTCATTTAATCAACATCAACCTTTATACAAACCTAAATAGAACGTAATTCACTAAAGCGCAATTCTAAAGATGTAAAGGTCACGGAAACTTTTTTTCCAATTATAACTGATAACAAATGTACATAGCGTTCATGTAGCCTTCTTCGCTCGGATATGAAAAGTTGTGAAACGAATGAGTTTCAATGCATTCTATTCTTGATCAAGGTAAGTGCTCGTCGTCTTGGGAAATTCGTGTGACATTGTTTAACTATCATGGAGAAAACAGTTGTTCATGAGTTGCTAGTAATGTGTCTTTGTGGTAAACTTTGTGTTGTAACCAATGTATCGAGACTACTGAAACAAACTGTCGCTTCCCGTTTCGATTTAAAAAAGAATGTTCGATTCCATTGCTTCTGTGGACTGTTTTCTATTCTTTCTAACGCCGGACCCACTTTGAGATCTGCCGTACCTTAGTGCCGGTAAAGGAATTAATAACATTAAATTTGAACTCTTTGCCTTTGACTTTTCCGCGAACTATTGCCGAAACCACTCCAACTACCGCACTCTCATGGCGACTAGGGGAGTTTACGTAAACTCCAGAGCCGGAGACGCCTCTAACTCCATCGCAAAAGTTGAGAATCATGTCGTTCGCTTTTCTGTATACAGAGCAATATGTGTACCACAATGAATTGTACCATTTGTCACCATGAAAACCAGAGAATTGAATTTTCGAACCGGGAAGAAGACTGCTTATCTGCACGGACATGTGTTTTCTTGAGTGCTTGCGCTTCAGTTTTAAAACTGCAAAATCGTATCTCAGCCTCTCTTTTGTTTGGGTCTGTTTCTTCCACTTTTTAGGTATAAACTTTCTCTTCACTTGGATCCAGTGGAACTTTCCTGATCGCTGGAGCAAACCTGGAAATAAAGTTGTATTAGCATACAAAAAAAAAAGAATCGATGACCTTAATTAAGAACGTTACGAAAACATTACTGATATCTGAATGATAGAAAGTTATGAATAATTCAGATGAGTACCTCAAGTACACTGGTTCGGTTTGTCGAAAATATGCTCTCAAAGAATACGTATGGGTGGCAAAAACAAAGTGCACTTAATGGCTCTAAAGACAGTCAATGGCCGTTTTTATGCTAGAGACGTTAAAGTTGTCTAAGAGACGACTTTAACGTCTTAGACAACTTTAACGTCTCTAGCATAAAAACGGCCAATGTGGTTCGAGACGCTTCAGACGAACTTCTCGAAAACAGAAACTCAAAGAAAAAGAAAGTTTGTAATGAATGACGGGGTTTGGGCACATCGCAAATGCAAGATTTTATTCCGCTCTTCCTCTTGATTTCCTAGAATTTTTTCAGGCGTATGATCTCAAATTTCTGGAACCGTTTACATTTTTCCAGTTTGCTTAAATCAACATCTTGCCGTTGAAAGGTATCTCATCACTCTAAACAATTTCCAAACAATCTTTGAGAAGACATTCGGCGTCAAATTGAGACCGTCCAGTGTTTAGCTGAATTAGACCAACATTCTCTCCAAAAGCAAATTCGCAAAGAAAGCGTAACATTCGTTTAAGGTATGGTACATGTGCACCTGAGGGTAGCTTTATTTCACGCACTATTGAATGTCACGAAAATACTACATTGTTGGAATGCTTCAAAACTTTGAGGTTTTCATCGATTACCGTAGAGACACTTAATAACGAGCAAACGCATCAAAGGAACAAAACAAACAAGCTAATCAAGAACATAACTGTATATAATTCTCCCAGACATTTAGTTTGAATAATGCTTATGAAAAAGATTCTAAGTAGATGACGTTCATTCCACTTTCCGCAATGGTCTTAGTCAAGCTCCACGCCCCCACAGCACGCCTCACTTGCCAATATAACAGGGTACTAATTTCAATAATCTCATATTAATTTTAGTGTTACTGTCCGGCGTTATTCACGACGAATCAAAACAAACGTCGTCAAGTGGGGTCTTTGTTTGCTGGAGCCATACTCGTCTGACAAACCATTAAGAAGGATGCTTTTCAATTTTGTCGTATCGCTTTAATTCAAGATTTCAGCTTTGTCCTTGAGAAGTTAATAGCCCTCCTGAAGTCATGTGACAACCTCACAAATTAATGTAACAGAGCAAAAATTGGTAAAGAAGTGGGAGGAATACAAGACACGTTAAAATAGACAGAGACCGTAGATTGAAAATACGCTAACAAAATCTCAACCATGTCAAATTGATAACATGGATTTTATAATTTTGAATATTCTAGCAAAGTCGACCCGGTGTAACCTAAATTGATTTTTTAACATCAGTGAATTATACTGCATAGTGAGCCCGGCTGTTACATGAGACCTTGTAAATAAAGATCAAATAAATTTCGTACCAGAGATGTTGCACAATTCTTAAGGAAGGAATAAGTCTAATCACTCACCAACTTTTAGTCGTTTGGCAATTTTTAAGTGTCTTTTGCCGTCGTGTACACAGTGAGCGGCTGTCAACACGTGCTCAGGCCCGATGAGCGTGCCAGTGCAACCGGAAGAAAGCATCACTGCAGTGGAGAACGGATACATCTGAGCTTCGAGAGAAGTTCGCATATTAACTCGGTTGTCCTCTCCAAAGATTTGTCTTCTCCGTCTACCTTGGCTGGAATGCACTTGTTTTATGGAGAGGCCATGCCCGGAAGTCTTTCTGGTTGGTGTGAAGGCCGAAAGGACTTTTTCAGCAAATTCTTCTAACGAATTGCTTTCTTCTTCTATGTTAAGAAATAGAGTCCCTACATCATTTTCCACTTGGGTTTCTGTAATGGTCAGGTCGGACCACTTGGCGGGTTTTCCGTTTTCTTCTTTGATCAGTTCAGCGTATATACTGCACACATACGTTGTCCCTAGTACTGCAAAAAGCAGGAAAGTAAGGAACAGATCCATTGATCTTTATCCTCCTGGCTAAGATCTGCCCTGCCAAAAAATGCATGACGAAAGGCACATCGTTATAACTGAGTTAATATTTTTGCACACAAAGTTTGAAAAAAAATATATAAAGATAAATAAAACTACACATGGCCTATAAATAACAGCCATATTTACAGTAGACTGGTCCACTTAACACAAACACCTTAAGACAAACTATTTCAATCGTGAAGTGCATGCGTTCACCTAATTCAATGTTTCTCGTACGGATTTCAATGCCAAATGATTTCAAATGACACGAACTTTGGTATTTCACTGTGCCATCTGCTTAAAAACAACTTAGAGCCTGACATTTCACTCACGCACCGACCCACTGTCTTAAATAAAAGGACGACAAAGTTAAAAATTTTTGAGTTTTGACAAATTATCATAACAAAACGATTCATAATTAGCTGTAATCTTTTCGCACAATGTCTTGGATATGACAATCATGTTTTAAATTCCAGTAACCAAACAAGGTTCATTCGCCAACGTTTACCCAAAAAGGCCTCCCGTTTGAGGCTCCATCACATGAGGAAAGAATTTAAGACATGGTCGCTTTGACAAAAATCCACCCTCAACATGCTTTTCTGTTGGTGGAAAGGCATATGGAAAGCAATCGACAGGGCACGTGGGAGACCTCATTCGTAACTCCAAATATCGACAAAGACTAGTAAATTTGCTTAAATATATCTGACCTATTTACCACAAAGAATAGAAATGAAAATTACCAAATATAGCACTCACCTCAGGGTACGTTGTTAGCGGAGTAGGTGGACTTGTTTATGTTCCCTTTTTTGTAACAATGAATCTGAAAGGAATCATGACGATAAAAAGTTAGTTCTTCTAAAAGTGTAAGATTGGCTAACTATACGCTTTGATGATAACTTACAAGCAGATCAGTCAAGCGCAAAGTGCGCTTCAATCGGGATGGCAAAAGAAACCTTGAGGGCAATAAGATATCACTGAAATATCAAGCAACATGCTATGTCATCATGTTTTATGTCTATGCTGTTTTCAAAAGAGGGAATACCCTGCTGTCTTTTACAAATGCACAATTTACTGAACTCGCTTCTTTCACGTGCCAAAGAAACTTTGGACCCGGCCACGCTCTTCGTAAGATTGTTACAATACTGTCAGCACGATTCCTTTCTCCAGGAGATCAATCTCACAAAGAAATGTACGACAATGTGAAAGTACCTACCCAGCTTTGTAGCCCACGTGAGACTTGCTCCGCTCAACTTTCGAAAGGGCGCCTATACAAAGCTAAAACTGTTTTCGACCTTGTGCGCTTGAGGTCTAAATTAATGCTTTAAAGACCGACTTGCTTTGAGCATGAGAAAAGCAGTGAAAACCATTTAACATCCAACTAAAAATATATATGTCCTGGAGGGATTAAAGTTAAACACCGGATAACCTTTTCAAAATCGTTCATCAAATAACAAAATATCGCTCTCTTGACTCGTGAACTACCGCGACAGAATACGCATAAAGCTGAGGTATACGTCAGTACGATATTTTGCCCTCCACAGTTCCTTTTTTCCTTCATAGGATTTATAGGATCGAGAAGAATGTCTCCCAGGGACCGTAAAAATTTGCGTGTAATCGTCAATACTTAAAATAATATACTTAACTCAACATCAGAAACACGTTTCGACAGAAAAACTATACAATCTGTTGTACTTCGCTCAACTGAGAGGTAACATTAACTCTTAAGACTAACGCTTGAGACGTCACCCAGCTTCAGTAGAAACTCTTTAGAACTGCATTATCATCTCACTTGATAAAACCAAACTATCTTATGATACCCCCTACCGACGCAATACCACAGCTTCTTTAAATTTACCTCCCTTTATTCATGAGAGGTACTATGGTTACACAGTAGTATCCTCTCCACTGGTATGAGAGATCATCATCAGAATTAAACGGCCGACGATTTTTTGGACCATTTTCAAGTAAAGACACAGACACTTTCCTTACAACAGAATGGGACTTTGGAAAAATGCTACGAACAAAAACACCGAAGAGGAAATAGAATGAACACGCACTGTACTAAAATTACCCTTTGAAACATTTTGGATACACGTTAACCCCACAAATAGTGCGTACATTACAAAAGGAATTTTTTACATCGGTTTGTTGAAAAAATAAACCTCATCTTTATCATATATGATATCTCGAAATATAAACCCAACAATCCACTTTCATTTCACGCCCAGCGTAAATCAAATCACGTGCCCCTCAACTAGTTTCGTCTAGGAACCACGCAATCAAAGGTAAGAATTTTGCTTGCAAGCGGAGACAGAAAAGCAGGAGATAATTTAAAACAGGGAGCTAGTTAAAGACAAACAGAATTTCGAGGAAAACTCTCTCCTCAGTTAAATATTTTCGATACCAACTACAGAGTTCTAGAAATGCACTACATTCGGCCGATAATAAACAATCGATTTTTAAGCTCATACCTTTGAGGTCCTACCTGGATTGGTCGGTCTGGTTGCGATTGAGAAGTACTCAAATAGAATATTTGTATAGGCGATATAAATAGTTTGTACGTCAAAGGCTTGGAATAACATTTTGTAAAAGAAACAAGGGGATAAATCTTGCCCCTTTCTGAAATTTTCTGACGCATCTTTCTATTAGCTAAACATAACTGTTAGCTAAGTAGTTTATTACTGTACAATATCAGAAGTTTCCCAAGCAGTAAAGGACTGCTTTCGTAATCCGATCGAGGTACGTGAGAGATTTTGAGGACTTTTGGCGGCTTTACCGCCTAAAAGCATAACCACTAAGTAATTAGTACAACTACTAAGTAATCGGAGCTAAATGCAATTACAGATCGGTAATTTACTATTCATTAGTTTTTCCTGACGCTACACCCATAAAGAGCCTGCACGTCCGACGGCAAAGAATTATGTAAAGGACGAACTCAATACTCGGACTGTGTTCACGTTAAGTTTTGTTCAAAGGGTACTAGAATTTAAATCTCATTAGAGTGCTTTTCAAATACAATAGTTTCGAGTTTTCTTTTTCAACCATTCCGAGTACCGAAAAGGGATAAAATACATGGCGACAGTGGATCTAAGGCTCTCCCTTGGCTCGCACACTGCTAAGGAGACAAAACTGTCTCTTTAATGACATGAGTAACAAGAAATAGTCTTTGAAACGAAATAGGGTTAAAATGGTTAAAAGCTGTACGTTATTTTTAGAACAAGGCATACTTCAAATATCAAGCTGGGCTGTTAAATATCGCTCATCGTCTGAGAGGAATCAAGAAATCAGGCAAGAGGTAATAATTGTATTCATTTGTTGTCTTTTAAAGAACTTCGATGACCAGAGCTGAATGTGAGAGTTTTGTTAGTATTCGACAGAAAGGATTGTCGATGGCATTAGTGCAACTTGAGCTGTTTTTGCTTGTTAGAGCACACTTCTTAATTATCTGAAAACCTGACGCATTTGTTGGCTTGAATGTTATGGGATAACACGAGAGGGCAACACAATCACATGACATAAATCTGCTATTCTTTAAAATAAATTGAAAAAAAAAAAAAAAAGAAACTTAACACAAAGGTTAAATTGCGTAAAGCACAATATAATTGTTGAACAATTGCCATAGCATTATTGATTGACTTTGATTTTATCTACCTAATCAATGGCAAGTATTTTCGTTTGCAGTGTGATTAAAAGTTAGCAATTCAAAAAAATTAATGTTTTATAGCAAACGGTTACATCCTCTACTTACTCCTTATAAGCTGAGATGAATCCGACGGCTAGTGTTGTCGTTGCTATAAACTTGTATTGATTGTTAATCTTAAAAAGACTTTCCTTGGACACAGATCAAATCTTTGATGACAAGTACTTCTCTTTTATGAGCCATGTCGAATATCCGGAAAAACATGGACTTTGTCTAATGTTGGTGGAAACGGAACAGCGACAAAAGTAGATGGTAAACGATCCAAACATATGAAGTTCAGAAGTCTACGTGCGGCAAGTGAAAAAGCGATTAGAGCCACGTTACTGAGGCAAGAACAACTCGTCAACGCACGAGCTCAACATGTATGACGATATCATAACAGAAAAAATTCTTCAAGCGACTACTCATTATAATGAAAGACAGATCAGCCAATCGTAGTCCAGCGAAAGCGAATACCAAACGTAGACGGTCCAAACGACGCGATTCTTATCTAGGATTCTATTATTACTTAACAAAAAAGAGATGACAAACTCGAAAATTTCGTCTGGGATCGAGTATTACATGTATATATTAAATAAATTCTTGTTCAGTATGTCTTTGCCGGCTTTCCGGTGATTTAGACAGATCCGCTTTCTGTCAGCGGATGACACAGAAATCAAAGGTTTCCCTTTTATAACAAGGGACCTTCAGCAAAGCGGTTAGTTAGATTTCTCTTTAGAAGATTGCTTTCTTTGCTTTTCTCGTGACCGTGGGAACCGTCCCAAGGGTTAATATTGCGAGACAAACGATCAATATAAATTATTGACTTTTTGATGATGTTGCATGTACAATCAGCTGCACATTCCTGACAGTTTACTTCAGCTGGCATTATTTTTACCACTACATGTGGTAGATAAGTCCTTTCGCAACTTTTCATATTTAATTTAGTCCGCTAGCATACCAATCTGATAGACGTTTTGAACAAGTAACATCATTCATGGTACCATAAAACTAAGCTAACGTTCCCAATATCATCTCTCATTTAAGCCTTCACCATGTTGATGTCGTTTAGTGACATTTGAAAGGCTGCTGAATCGAACTTCTAACCATCACAAAAATCCTTCCAAGAGAAAAAAAGAAGTCGCAAAAAAAATAAAGCATTTTAAGAAACCTTTTAAACGAATTGAGAAATCATTTAGATTCCAATGATAATTGGGGTTCCTTAGGTTTAAGAAATCTCTAAGACGACGTGTTAATCACGTCCTGATATGAAACTCATAAATCCAGCAGTATCGTAAATAGAACACCGATAACTATCGCTCATGGCTTCTACGCCATGGCGTAACTTGGTTGAGAGCCCTTGTAAACGAGATTAAAAAAAGATTACGTACATCGGAAAAAATACCTCGACATTCAGGAAACCATAGATTTTCACACAAAGAAAAAAAGGATACAAGCTAACTGCCATATTACGTAGGAGACCAAAGGGCTGAAGGGTGCCTTATTCAAAAAAAAAAAAAAAAAAAAGACCGGAAACACTTCAGTAATTATATCACAGTGAAACTACATTTTAGCTAAGTACAATTAGGTAAATATAGAATTTTACAGCTGTAGACGTTGACTAACCATTCATATCCACAAGGTCACAAAGATCGCATTACGTTTGAATCCTCTCAAGGAAAATTCGATTGGTTTAATTGTATTATCAAGCTCCGTTCGAAACGGCTCGTTTAATTAAGACCTCGCTAAACTTCACAGCGTCCCATTATTCTTCCATTACTAATACCGAAACGATGAGCCCTTAAAAATTAGTTTCACATTTTCGAAATTGAATTGTGATTACGTCAAAAATATATATTTAACTGGCTACAGCCTATTACTTATCTGAACAACAAAACGTATGTTTTAGTCAGTTGCAAAACGTTGAAAGCGACTTACACGTTCCTTTTCATAGCTACTACTATGTTTTACTTGGATGTAATCCCTCCCGAAATCGAACGGGATGAGCCGGCCACGACAAGCGCCAATCGCAGGCCCTTATAATTTGGTATTTTGCAGTGTGGACTCAAAAGTTGATTCACCATTCCTTTATCTGACGCAAGTGAGAACAGTTAGTCTGCTTGCATATGACGGTTTATCCAGTCACGATACCTCTCCGTATAGGTGTACACACTATATTTGCCAGGCAGTCCGCAGCCTTGTCCCCAGCTATTAATTCCACCAACAAACCACTTTCCTACCGAATTCTGGCACATGAGAGGGCCTCCACCATCTCCGTAACAGTTGTCTTCGCCACCCCTCTCATACCCTGCACAAATCATATTATCTTTCACAAGACCACCGTATGCATTGGCTCCGTTACAGACCTGGCGGGAAACAACGGGCACTCTTTGGGACCTCAGCGGGGTAGATGTATGATGGACGTTGGCCGGCCTAAAACCCCAACCTGCTACAGCGCACTTGCTCTCGAGCTGTAGCTCTCCTTCATCTGGTAGACATATCGTTTCCACCAAATCGTTCAATTGTGCTGCTCGCTCAAGGTATACCAGAGCGATATCATTCTCGTTTGTTGACGGGATATATGATGAATGAACATATATTTTTTCTGCTCGTATATTTTGCTCAGAATTTTCCTTTTTCGCGAGATCAAACTCTCCAGCCCGTATGACCCACTGAAGAGGTTGTTTAAACCTGCAAACGAAAGTCTGTGGTTTATTGACTTTTTCTTTACCGACAGTAAAAGTCTTTCAGGTAAACGGCCAAAATCGGCCTATGGCAAATCTTCCAGTTGTCGATTTTCGTTTTCAGCCGCGAGAAACGCCATTTCCAAAGTCACCGAACACGTAACTTTCGGTTTTTATTTTCGTACATTGGTTTCATCTTCCCTTCTAGGAAAGTTTGAAAGTCACCGTCTGTGAGCGATACGGATTTTTAAATGTTTTAGCCGCTATAATTCGAGAACGTTCCGACAAACTACCTTGTATTGAGAATCGTGAAGGCTTTTCCATTCATTCAACAACCTGATCGAGTGGCACGAAAAGCGAGTGACGTATCAGCAGCTGATTGGCGATATAAAACACACGTGAAAAAATATCGTATTTTTTCACATGTGTTATTATGGCTTTTCTCATGGCTGGAAATCCTTGTATAACACCATAGTTTATATGATAAATCTTCATATTAAATATTTTCTATTTTTAAGGAGGCACCCTTTTCACCTGTAGCTGAAAAAACGAGCACCTTTGAATAAATTTTTAATACCTTTTGAAGCAATGGGCTGCGGTGAGTACCCATCGAGGAGCAAGGAGAGCGCCGCCACACTGCTGAACAGATTGTCCCATAAGCAGAAGAGCTACCTGCCAGGGCCATCGGCCAGGCCACTGCTTTGGTAAATCTCCATCGGACTCCCACGGAGAGACAGAATATTTTAGATTACCGCATCCTGGAGAGATAAGGAATCAGAGAATTGCAAAACGATCCGATATTAGTATAGGGAGTAATATGGGCTTTTGATGTGAAAATAAATAAGAAAAAAGTGGACATTCAAAATCGTTGTCAAGTCATAACACACTATGAAAATTTTTTATTTACAGGTAGCTCTTTAAAATTATGAATCATCACAAATCTTAAATTTAACCATTTTGTTACCATCCAGGTAAAAATCATTAAATCTCATCTTTATCGTTCACGAACATTTAAGATAAAATATGACCATTGATAAACTTATCACCAACAGTCATTTTCCGGGTGAACAGACTTATGAAATTCTTCCTGCGCTTTTACCTGTCAATGATAAAACGTGCTTTATTGTTATTTCATGGTGACCAACCATTCTCCCTAAACGAAAGCTGCATTTAATATCAATTTGGTTACACAGGAACAATAAACGTTTCAGGCTTTTGTACCCCTAGTTCATTTAAGTAACAGGCAAACAAAAGAACTCGCCATTGTAAGTGTACCTTTCTTCCCTTCATCACCCTGAGAAGACTTAGAAGGACCGTCGTGATAAGTCATGCCAACTTTGGTTTTTATATCACCTGACACCACATAACGCACCCAGAGACCGTTTCCCGAGGATTGCACGGGAGCAGGTATCTTGTCTCCGCAATACCTTCCTATCAGAGGAGCGTGTTTAGTAAGGCCGTTTCTGATTTCAACGTAGTCTTTCAAACATGAAGGATCGCTTTTTAAGAAATCAAAAGTTATAAACTTCAGCGTTACTGTGCTCTCCGCCTTTGAAGAAGTGACATGCCAATGGCAACCTTTTCTGCTGGGCGGATTTGATTCACCACTCATACGATGGCCAACTGTTGAGCACTCGGTTGCGGATCGCGATTGGTCTGTATAGTGTATGATTAGCAATCAAGTGAGATACAAGATTAATAACCACAGAAAAACAAATCTCACAGCAAAACGTATAGTGCTAAAAATACTAAAAAAAATGACAGATTCTTATAGACTTATTATCGAGAAGACACGATCCAAAACAAGAGGCTTATAAAGAACTGATGTTCGACGTTTTAGACTAGAAATACTGACCTGTCATACACCCGTACAATTCTGTTCGCATAGAAACAAAGTTACGTTTAACCATTGGCCAAAATCGGAGCGTGCTTGACTTAATGGTGTTCCATAGAGTGTGAGATATCACTGAATTCCTGTCTTTATTTCCATGAAATACCTGAGGAATGAATGATATAAATTCGTTTGAAGACAGTAAAAATCTTTTCATGTCTTAAGCGTTATTTGTTCATTCATTCGTCATTTATCACACCGTATACACACTGCAAGCGTAGAAACAACTCTGTTCATCTCACTGTTAGGAGTGCTAAACTTTCAAAACTTGAACATAAAGAACACGAAAATTGACAATTTTGTATTTGCGGTTGGTTAGTTAAAAAAGATCAAAAACACACGGGAGCACCAAACTTTTACATGAGAGACGAAATGATACAATTGATTTTTATAGCGATCAATCTATGAACTATAGGACTTGACGATGATGAAAATGAGCTTAGTCTCATTTTAAAACAGTATCTACGGTTAACATGTAATTATCACCTTGTTCTTCCAAAGGACGGCTGAAGTCTTCACCTGACGAGGAACGGAATAATTACGCCAAACTTCTTCTTCACTTTTCCATGACACTCGGTACTTCTCCACCCACTGATCAACGGATCCTCCATAGCCTTGTGTTGCCACCCGCGTTATTATAAAAGGGTGCTTCAAGTTTACTTGAAACCAAGGGGAACGATCCTCTACGCTTGCCGTCCAACCTTGAGGCCAGCGATTCAAATTGAGCCTTCCTCTCTGGGCACCGAACTTGTCATGATCATCCTCCCATGCGGAAGAGGCTGTTAGCTGTCCGTCTTCAATAATATCCGGGTCTTCTATCCCAAGAGGCTCTTGACATTCGTCTGCATATGACAAAAAAAAAACAACAGCAAAAAAGGATAATAAAACCATTCTTATAAACTGTTAAAAAACGTGCGCAATAATACAACAAATAGGGCAAAGAAGTATAGCTAGCTTTCCTCATAAAAAAAGGGAGAACTTCGTAACCGACCTCGCTCACGGTGGAGTCTCTGTGGCTCAGTGGTAGAGCATTGGAACACGGAATCCGAAGGTCTGAGGTTCGATTCCTCATGGGGACTCAGAATTTTTTCTTTCTCCCACGTTAGTGACAAGACGAAAAACATCTTCTTTTAAGGTTAACTTAGTTGTGAATTTGAAGTAAAAATGAGCGACAATCAAAAGTAGTAGGCCGAATTGAAATTCTCTAATTAATGTTACAATAATGGCTTACCAAATTTACATCCATAGAGTTCTAATCGCAAGCCCACACCACCTTTCCAACTTCTTGGTTGGATTTTTACTTCTTTAGAAATGAAGGGTTCCTTCAGCATATGGCGTACAATCGTGTTGTGATCACTATTACCATCTAAAACCTGTGAGTCAAACACAATTAAAACATTCACCAGAAAGACAATGGCTTGGGTGCCCTGTATAACCTTGAAGATACTAGGGCTTTGGTTAAGATACGAAACTTACCACTTTGATCAAACCGAATAAAGAAACTATAATCATAACTCAATGAATCAGCCAGCCGTAATTAAGCTTGCAAGAAACAAAAAAACAAAAAATCATAAAAATAGTGCAATAATAATGATTAAAAAAGGGATGCCTGAAATAATAATAATAGAAAAAACATGCCTGTAAATTTCTTATAAAATTCGGCACGTGAATCGAGCCGGTGTTTCATCGAAGTTACTGGTGGAGCCATTTACTGTATGAAGTGAGGTTGTGTATCTCAAGCAAAGGGGTACTTCTTTTTGCTGATACATATCACGAGTGGTAAACCATATGTAAAAAATATGAAAAAAAACCACCATCGGTACAGAGTCATTCTGTCACCTACCTTCACTTTTCCATCTTCGTGATAATACACCTCTCCAGCCTTGCTGTCAAGCCAAAGCAAATAATAGCTCTCAATCCATTCATTGAAAACTGGATTACCATAACCTTGCGTTGCAATGCCAGTAATTACGTAATCCGATTGAAACGTGACTTTGAGCCAAGGATTTTGGTCAGTTGTATCAGCACTCCAGCCTTGGGGCCACTTACTGTTATTGAGTCTTGCATGCTGCGGACCAAAGGTGCTTATGCCCATCCACGTGGAAGATGACGACAGCTGTTTATTTTTTATTTCACCGGATTCAAGACCTAGTGCATCGCCGCATTTTTCTAAAAAAGACATCGTTTATGTAAATATATATATATATATGGGTAATGAAACTAAAACAGGATTGGACTCAAACAGAATAGTAACGGTGTTTATTCTCGGAGTTACTGCAAGGCAGATTGGAACAGTTTTTAAACTATGAGCCAAGAGACACAATAGAGTATTGCGACCGGTACAAGATCAATAAGTTCGAAAAACCTTATCAAAAAATAAGCGATAATCAGTTGGCTCTATAACAGTGTATTCTTCACCTAATATTGTGAACAAAAGAAATCGCATCGTTCAGGATGAAAAATAAATTAGCAATTAGTGGAAATACTACTCAAGTGAAATGTTGATTGGAGAAACAGTTAGGCTAACACGCATATTAATGTTATTACTAAAAACATTATTTAAGATGCAGCTGAGAATCACGTAGACATTCTTTAAAAAACGGTTTACGTGTGAGGGCGTTGAAAACGTCTCATTCTCAATTTGTTGAAGACTAATTGAAAACTTAATAAAATCTTAAAAATCACCTTAGGCAGCGAGAAAAGCTAATGCATTTGAAGAGTAGTTTTTATCGCTCGATTCAGTATATTACTTTCCCCTGTGTATACGTATGCTTGTTAGAATCCAACGGAGAATTGAACTGGCATAATCATTGGGTGGAACTTACTTGGTGGATGAGGAACAGATCCCGTCGAAGGCTTCCCACTAGGTTTCATAGGTTTTAATGTTTGCTTCATAGTAGTCCACGTTGCTTCAAAACCCTTACTTCCCGTTCCAATTGTATAATAACGCATCCATAATGTATCCGTAGAACCTCGCACCACCATCGGTGCAGAAATGCAATAGCGTCCTAGCAGACGAGACGTCTCTGATGGCCCGTCCCTCAATTCCACGTACTCCGTAACACAGTTATCGTCACTGTTCAGATCAAATTCGTTAAAACCAATGGCAATTTTGTTTCCTTCGTATACAGATATAACCCATACACAGTCAACAGGCCCTTGGGCACCAGAGAAGGCAGGGTAGTATGGTGAGAAGATGTCACCACTTGGACGCATACGTTTTCCACCACACGGCTCTTAATAAAGTAAAAGACGATTATTAAAACCGTTATATCTTTACAATGAATCACACAATTGTTTGTCATGTCATCTAGTGCAAAAAATAATGCGCTTATAGGCGGTAACAGGACCCTTATCTCATCGTTACTATAAATGTCTTGGACCGCCATTTATCTACGGGTAACTTTTATAGAACCAGTTTTCATCTAGTCACTCTCCCAGTGGAATGTCGCCCACCTAGTCAATGACTTTTGTCAACCTGAAGAATGAACATTTCATTTTGCAAATGAGAGGGACATGAAATGTGGCAGGAAGTTTACACTTAGTGGATATTCAAAATATTTGGAGAAATAAATCATACTTACCAATCACGTTTACTTCGGTTGACGGAGATTTAGTGCCTAGAACTGGATGGGCATACCAGTATGCCTCAAATCCTTTGTCTGTCACGCTCATATCAGACTTAAAGAAAACGGTCATTTCACTGGATGTTGAGTCTACCACCGGCTTGCTTGAGTTGCCACAAAATCTCCCGAGAGTAGTTGGAGAAGTCGGGAGGCCATCCATAACGAGCACAAAATCATACTGGCAGCTTGTGCTCTTCTCCACTTGCAAGTACATGAACTCTAAGCGTATTTTGTATTGTGGTGATAGTTTTATGACCCACTGACACATTACATCCTCTGGATACTTTTTGGGATAGCGAGGGCTCTTTATAACGCCAGACATTTTGGTGAAAGTACCACCACAAACTGTAGAGTAATAGATGTGAGAAGAAATTTGTTTCGGTGCCAAAAAAATTTCAACCAGCCTATCGTAAAAATAAATTCAGTAATTGACTGATTATTTCCAAAGAATAACGATATTTCCCAGGAATTCCAATGAATATCTATAGTTAAATTCACCCTTTGTTTGCGTGATTTTACTTACCGGGGTCCCCATCTGACGTCGGTGCAGGCCCAGGTGGTAGCGGCTGTCCTTTAAAAGCGTGCCATTTAAGCTGAAATCCTCGTTTTGGAGTTAAACCGTCTGAGTGAAACTTTATGTACATTGCGTTTTGAGAAGATTTGACGGGGGAAGGAACTACATCTCCACAGAATTTCCCAAGCAAGGGCATGTCTGATCTATCGCCATCCCTGACCTCCAAATAGTCATACAGGCATCTGGATTGTCTTTCGAGTTGAAATGATCTGAATTCTACCTGGATGACCTGATTACTTGGTGCCAAAATTACCCAAATGCAATCTAGGTTTAGTGGATATTGGTTAGGGTAACCTGGGCTGGTTATTTCACCGTTTTCTTGATTCAAAATTCCTCCGCACTCTGAGGATAAAAACAAATAACTTAATAACGTACATAAAATGTAAACAAATACATATGAAAAGAAAAATGAGGAGAAAAAAGTAAGGAAGTATAGAATTAGGTATGAAGGTTTGACGACTGGGGTTTCAGCAAAAAAAAAAACAAACAAACAAACATCTATCAAGTAAAAAAGGGGAAGAATGCGTGTTAATACACAAAAATGGTTTACTCTAAAATCATAAAAGGTTGACTGCTCGCTAACGGCAATTAATTTCTAGTTCAGTAAAAATTAGAAATCTAGAAAATAACAGAAAATATTGCTTACTTTCAGGCGGTGTAATTGAAGGTGTAGCTTTGGTGGTTGTGGACGACTGAGCCGTTTGATTTGCAGGAATGTAATGAGATATCCTTCTCCATGTAGCCCTAAAACCCTTCTCATTGACTGTTCCATCAGTGACAAGTCTTATAAAAAGGGAATCTCCAGTTGAATTGAAAGGTGAAATGATCGTACTTGCGCAGAATTTTCCAATTATTTCAGAGAAGCGAGTGCTACCTTGTCTAACTTCGACAAAGTCATAATTACAACTTCCGGAATTTTCTAAATGAAATTCGTGAAAAGTAAGCTCAATCGTGTCTTGGAGAGGCACAACTATTGTCCACACACACTCGCTGTTCTTTGAGTACGATTCAGGATAGTTGGGTGATGTAAAATTCCCACCATCACCAGTCATTTGGCCACCGCATCCTGAAGAAAAATTAATGAATAAATTAATGGAGACAATTTCATGAGAGAAAGAAAACAAACAATATAAAGCGAATAACTTCCAAAATAGAAGGAAAAAAAAGCATCCTACACATCAGTCCTTAAAGAGTCTGTTACAAAATCAACAAGGAAATACATTTATATGTGCTCTTTAGGTGCCTCGTGACAACGAGCTTTCATACGGGCCTCATCATTTCGTCCACTTTCTCTACATGTTCACGAATAAGAGAGGCAATTATACCGAAACATTCCTAATGAACGACGAAAAATTACCACCGGTCCAGGTAGACTGGTAACCATGCAAGAGCCACTAACGCAAAATACAGAAGGCCCGTAGAGACATTTCAGCGTTGACCACGATTAAGCCTCGCTGAGGAAGTGCTGGTAGATATTTTAAGATTTCGAACAAATATCTACAATCTGCGCTTTGCAGCAGTTTTCAAAGAATTTTAGTGAGAAAAAGAGCCAGATAAATCAACAAACCTGTAGGCATAGTAGGCGTAGTCACTTTTTCTTCGGTACCTGGTGGTGGCTTTTCGGAAAGCTTTTCTGCCTTCCACATTGCTTTGAAGCCCTGTTTGGTAGTGGACGAATCTGATCGGAAACCAATCCAAAGGAAATTGCCCGTAGAGGTAATGGTGGCTGGTCTGCTTGTGCCGCAAAACTTCCCAATCATAGGGCTTTTGGAGGTCGAACCATCCCTTATAATAACGTAATCGTATTGGCAAACAGAGTTGTCTTCCAGGGCAAACGTTTCAAAAGTAAGCACGACTTTGTCACCCGGTTCGGTTTTAACAACCCATGCGCAAACTTTATCCACTGGGTAGTTCAAAGGATAATTTGGTGTCTGTATGATACCACCTCTCCCTTCGATAAGTCCGCCACAGTCATCTGAAAGAAATCAGTACAAGCCGATAAGTTTAGTTTCAACCTTTGTATATGCCGAATAATTTTTGTTCTTACTTAAAGGTGTGATAATTTACCTCTTGCGATTTTTGATTCAAAATGTATAAATATTGTCGTAACAACTTAGATGCAAAAATAGCCTGATCTGAACAAAGCAGAAGCAAATGAAATGAAGACAAAACAGAGAAAATCATTAACTTATCAGTACACAAACCCGCTCTCAATAGAATAAACAATTCTGGAGAAAAGCAGTTGGGGGTTTAAAGAACAAAGTGAGGGTAATAAAAACAACGTAATTAGGAATTGAAAAAATTGATTGCATTATTATTCTCACTATACCTTTCAAATAATGCAAAACGTGCTAATCTTAATCCACCTTAACAATATATCTTGGGCGAATGCAAAATGAAAAGAAATATTTTTTGAGACGAGGTGCGTTAACACCTATTTCAACGCAGAGGGATACAATCAGGCTGCAAATTTGCCTTTAAAACCACACGCACTCTTCCCAAGATATTTCAGCTCTAACCGAAGACAAAACTTTGTGAGAAATTCCGCAATATTCTTGGTAAAATTAAGTCCTAGACCATTGGGACAAAAAAAAAAAGGATAAGGAAACAGAATACACTGGGTGGCCTCTTACAAGAGTTACTCCTAAGCACATATCTACTAAGCATTAAGACATCGATAACGGCTTTTGTTATTTAATTAGGAAAACCAAGATTAGCTTTATCAAGAGTTCAATGTTGTCCTTGAGTAGCATAGTGCTATAAAGTCAGACGTGTAAATCAAGTGAGGCCAGATATGCGACGATAAACTAAATTAGCGTAGCATACCTGGCCTCACTTGATTTACATATCTGACAAGATGATCTTGTTTGCGCAATTCTTTAACCGAGTTTTTTGCATTTCTAATATGCCCCCACTGAGCGAGTTATCCTTCTGATCGACCATACACAAAGGTTTCGATTAATTCAATTTTAAACGAACCAATCTGCCCTAAAAGTTCCGTTTGAAGGATGTCTTCTAGCTTTAAAATTCCCACACGACATTTGACTTGTATAGTTAAAATGAGCTGTGCAAATATCAAAATTGACTTGTGTGCAGGCCTCTTACTGAGCCATTTATGCACTTAAATCTTAAACAGTTTTCAATGAAGGACATTTCAGGTGTGATTTATTATATTGACGGGTCATGTTGAAAGTCACGATGAGCGGGAGGATGGAGCGACCCGACAGACAAGTGAAAAACAGTATAGATTACAAAGGAGTAACCGACTTTGAAGTGTTTCGGTTATAATATTTCACGAATGTTCCAGAAGGGTGCACCTGCGATTTAGGGTAGCGCTAATATTTTCCCTCTCAGACCAAGAGATTCGCTTGCAAACATGTACTTGACAAATTCAAACTCTATACTGTATTTCGGGAGAAGACATCAAATTTCTGTTCAATCTAGCTTGACACATACCAATAACTCCTTTACACTGGACACTGGGGTGCCCTCCCCCTAGTTTCGATCCGAAGGATCAGGCTGGAAATTTACAGAATACCTTGACCTCGGTGAAAAAACAGAAAGACGAAATACGACTATATTAAAATCTTAAGTGCCGATCAAACATCCCAATCAGTAGACATTATCACGCAAAATGTATTACGCCTCCTGGATGTTGCTTTTTCAAATCTACTTTCTATTAACACACTTTTAAAATCTGATCTGACACCTTATTGCTACCTCCTTTCATGGCTTCATATCATCAACACGATTCGAAAGATGAATGTTACAAATGCTAATTAAGGGTTGAAACTTACTACTCGAAACGAGTAACTTACCAATGAGTTGTGCTTGACCACCTGATAACAGATAAACAAGACAAGATTGACGTTAGTGTCAACGAAGGACATAGCATGCAAAAGAGTTCGTCTCTCGGTATTTCAAATATACGCGTCGAAAACGTGCCGCTCATCTCTACAATACTTGTGGTGGATATTAACGCAACTTAAAACTGTAAACATGAATTGTTCACTCGCGATCCCAACTTTGACAGCAAATTTATCAACTCAAATTACTATTACTACTTAATTTCGATTGTTAGCTGCCATAAAGCACTCGAGAGCAGGCACGTTGGAGCAGAACTTTCCTTTTAATGATGTCAAGGAAGATATTTGAAAACTAGATGGGAAATGATTATCGAACTTTCTTTAAATGTAAACCTTGAGATCACTTGTCAATCCTTGGACTACGAACTCACACTTTTATTTTGAGTTACACTGTAAACATTTCTTAAACATGTCACGTGCAGTTGAGCTCTACGATGACTTCTAAATGTTATCGTTAATAAGCGCTAACTGGAAGAAACGACCCGAAATATTAAAGGAAAAGAAACATACAAGGCGTGTACCGGGCAAATTTGCTTAGGCTGCGACTGAATTTTACCAGAAATCGATGTTGACGTGGTAAAGTGAAAGTTGATTAACATTTATAAAAGGAGGTGAAACAACATACCTTGCCAGTTGACAACCAGGGCGAGATTGACAAGCAGAAGTACTACAAAAAATGTTTCTTCCATGGTCCCAATGTTAGAGGAATTCGAGAAACACTGAAGGAATGCCAGGTGTGAGTCCGTCTATGTTGAGTGCTCTGTTATTACTTCATTTATGCAGATGCGCACTGGAGCAAGGATTTCATAAGAGGCTTTGAGGTCACTTTGGTATTCTCACATATATTAATCAATCGGAAATTTTCAATGACCTTCTAAACGGATCCTCCGTCCGACCAATCAAATGCGCTTATCACATAACAGACACTCGTACTCCAGTCATCACAATTTACATAAAAACACACGCTGTCTACACAAGCGGAACTGCTCGTATTTGCCGTAAGGAATATTTGTCGATGACTTCTAAATGTCATTCTGCGGTCGAACAACGTGGTTTCAACTATCAGCTCTATTTGCAATATAACTCTTCCCACCGGAAGAGTTCGAAAGAACAACACAAAGCGTTGTATCGCGAGATTTTAAGTTTATATAATCATTTCGTTGAGTTAATCATGTAAAGGAACGTGTTTACTTTCTTTTGAACCAAACGAGCTTTGGGAAGAAAAAATAACAAAGGTGCGACAGGAAGTTCTTTGTTTTAGTCTGTAAATTGGCGAGAATTGCAGCAACTTCTAAAGGGTCGCCGGAGAGCTGACTAACGAATCGCCAAAAAGTGTCTACATGTTCTTGCCCATTTATTCTGTTCAAAGAATTGAGATGCCAGGTAGGAGTCACCAAACTACAAACAATAGCATGAACTCCAGAAGGTTTCCGTTTTTCCTCCGCGGCTAAATGCCTGATTACACTAATTTGAACGAATCATGAAATGTATGTATTTTGTCGAGATTTCTTGTTGCTCTTCGCTTTTTAAAGCAAATGTCGGACCAATGTTGAGGTCTAAAGATCACGAACTATACTCGATGTGTATTATATTTGTCAGGATTACGGTAACTAAATTGGAGGGCGAAGTTTATATAATCCAACTGGAAAATGGTAAAGGCGGTGTAGGGTTAGGGCCAATACTAATGATCGTTCGCTTTGGGAGAAATACAATAACCATTGTCAAATTACACGAGTGGGTGTATACTCTACAAAAATGCAAGAGAGCAGTTGAGAGATAATAAAAAAAAGAAAAAATTTAGCAACACCTCCAACAGGTACACTTCAATTTCGTCCCTTTGAACGTGTAAATAGGCGTTGACTCGCGAGGCGTCTGTATTCATTCGGTTAGAGTTTCGAGCACGAAGACTGTCTTCCGCCACCTATCTCTTTTGTGGGGCTGACTAACAGAAAAAGAAAAAGCGAAAAGCTGCGCAGTGAAAAATGTATTGAAAGGCCGAATAAAAATTTTCCGCGTTCTGACTGATGATGCGCATATTAGAAGAAAATATCTTTCAAGTGGACATGTCTCCGAAGGAAAACACACCCAACCGTGAGGTCACGGAAAGGAATGAATCATCGACAAGTTAAGTACCCTTCTAAACCACAAATATCTTCTTACCAAGTTTAAAGACTTCCTTGTAATCTTTTAAATATCTCACGATGTTGATAGATGTGCAAAGTGAAGGAAGTTTTCGTAATACAAACGATTTTTACAAATCATTCTGAAAATTTCACTGTAAATTTTAACAATCCACAGTGACAATGACTGAGAAACATTAAGAGCTATTAAGGATTAGACACATTCCTGTAGAGAATTAATCTACCTCCAAAATGGGATAGAGAAACAAATTTCGAATAATGTGTCTCTTTTTGCAAGCTTTGTGGCATATTTTCCTAACCCTAAGCAATTACTGAGATTAGTGTAGGAGGATCTAAGAGTGATGCAACAATGTAGGATAACCTCTCACTACAGTTTTAACAACGTATCATACTTGGTGCAGTATGTTGTTGCTTCTTAGTGAAGTCCATGCGACTCCTTCGAAATGAAGAATTCACCAGATGCTGCCTGCAAGGACTCTGAAGACCAAGTTTAACTCTTGGGGGAGTATGGGGTTCAACGATGTCCCAAACATGAGGATTTGGAACGGCAATAGCCAGCAAATTTGCTGCATCAAGATGACCTGTCCACAGGGAAGACGAATTTAACAACATTCCAAAAGGTCACGATGGCAATGTTAATGCAGTTAAAAGATATGAACAAACAAAGGGATAAAAAATCGAAATATCAGAGGTCAACCTTAATTACGTAATCAATGCTTTATGCGTCGCGGAACCCTTTTTTGTTATTTCCAAAGTAAATTGTCTAATCGACTAGCCTTGGGATAACACCTAATCGTGTTAGAAATATAAATTTTTCTTTCCTACGATCCGTGGTGAGGAATAAAACAAACCACTCTATTAGTTTTATTAAATTCCGGACGCGGAAAAAGCGCTTTATTGAACGTACGTTTTTAACTACATAGCGTTATAATCTGCACCCCACGTTTCAAAACATGAAATCTGGAACCACACACGACCAGGGACTTACCACTATTTATTGCAAAGTCCATGGGGTAGATTCCGTCGTTTGTACAAAGACTCTTATCTGCACCTAATAATTCCGAAAAAAGAGTGCTATTCGCGTCAACAAGTAAAACATTTCGCACATGCCAGAAAAGGTTAGGGAGAGAGTTGCTTAGGGTTAGGTTTACATGGTCAGCGACTTAAGCGTAATTTAGAACGAGTTCCAAAAAAAAAAACCACTGTTATCTTTGTCGTAATTTAGACACTCAATTTCATAAATTTGACGTACGTGAATGTATTGAAACCTTCCCGATGCCGGGAAATCGACAAAACTTACAAAAAAAGCTGTGAGGTTTTGGTTAACGAGCACCAGTCGGAAAACTATACCCATACCTAGAGATATCAGGTGTTGCACGAGGTTACAATTCCCGGAGGATGCAGCAATAGTCAGAGGAGTATTACCAACCCAGTTTTGAGAATTTATGTCGCACCCTGGAAAGTAAAATTGACACAGATGATAACTATTGAGTTATTTGGTAAGGCCAATGATGTAGGAGAAGGGTCTCTTTTTCAAATATACCAGCATAGTCAATCAGCTCTATCGTAACTTGGTATTATCAACCCCCCAGCTGTATCAAGTAAACCAGGATAAAGAATTCAAATTTAATAAAACGTTACGTAGTAAAACCACAATTGATTTACAAAAGCATTCAGGAAATGTCCGTCCAAAAATTTAAGTTTTTCTTTAAACTGTTTTGAGAAGTGAGGGTTAAGACGAGGAAGCCTAAAACTGTCATAATTTGATATTAGTTACTTCCTGGCATTTTTCCTTTTTTTTGATTTTGAATTGAAACCTGTCAAGATTTTTCCTTTGAAAGTCTACTATCCAAAATAACCCTGGCCCCAAGGATGGGATGGAGAAAAATAATGCAATTTATACCTTGAGATCAGTGTATTGCTTTCTTCATCTGGAATTTACCTGCTTCAAACAAGGAGGTTATAACTCCAAGACAGTTTGAGACCTTCTGTGTGCCACAAAAAAAGCTAGCGAGATGAAGGGCACTATCCTTGCATGAAGTATTTGAATTTATATCAGCTCCTATAAAAATGCAAGTCTTTTTCAATTTATTCTTAGATAAAATGTAAAGGTTATTCAATTTTATCATATAAAAAGAATAAAGTGCAGTGTCAGCTCCTGCTCCTATTTCACCAAAAAGGATTGCCTTTCACTTTAAACCTATTCTTCAAAGATACGTGAAGGGTTTCTGGTAACTCCTGATTCAAGGAACATTCAGATAAAGTATAAAAGGTTTGATATTGATCAAAGACTATGAGAAATAAAGTTGTCCATTCTTTTACTTAAGGCACTAATATCTTAATTAATTCAAAAAAGGGATAAACTCCTCACCTTTATTCAACATGTATAAAATAAGGCAATTGTCCCCACTCAAACAGGCACACTAGCAATACATAAGATACAGATCTGGTAAGTTTTTTTCATTGAATTACTATTTCAAGTATTTTTCCAAGCACATAGTTAAATTATTTTTAGTTACATGTATCTATTAAAAAGTACTATCACTAATAAAATATCAATTGCATCAGGTTGGAGCAAGCTTTGCTTTACAAACGTTTTTCCCCAGGCAGTAAACTCATATCTTCAGATTTTTGTCTCAAACAAATTTCCTTCATGACTTTTTTTGTAATTCTACCTGGGTACATTTTAAACAGTTTCTACAGGTAGGATTCTTAGTTTCCATACTTTTAAAGATAAGCTCTAAACATAAGCATTATAGATAGTTTTCTTAATAATAAGTCAAAATCCTTGATTAATCAACAGTAAAAATTGCACATATACAGTAATTATACAAAAGAGTGGATAACTAGAAAAGTTTCAAGACAGAAGTTTGAGGAGACTTAAACAAATAAGGTACTGTCAAGTTTCTTGCCATTTCTGTGGCAACCACTTTTGACATTACACAATCTAACTTTGTACATTGTCTTTTAAAAGATAATGCCTTACATTTTTGTACTATTAAAATTATTCTCAGTAGCATTTAGTTTCAACTGTTTTGAACCCAACATCCTAAGCTGCAATCTTTTCTGAACACATTGTTCAGTTTTGGACAACTCACCAAAAACAAAGTTAGGCCAGACTCTGATTTAGGGTGTTTCCTGTTCACATCAATCTTGTGCTTTTCTATGAGTGATATAATATCTGTAGTAACTCCAGGCCTTTGCGTGTTCTATGACAGAAAAATGGCGATAATTTCTTAATCAGCAACACGTCTCAATGAAAAATAATTGAATGTCCTAGTAAACCATTTAAAAACAATTTCAATCTTTTCACAAGATATTTTTTCAACAACTTGTAATTTTCTTGACTGCATGCAAATATGTGATCATAAATATGATGGTGTAAATGGCTAATACAATTGGGCATCCAAACCTTGATCATTTGAAATAATCTTGTGATAAGAATTACTTCCTCAGTAGCCTTGAGCTCCTCACCTAAAATTATCATTAATAGTAAATGGAACATTTGTTTAGAGATAATTTCTTTTGTTCATTGGCTACAAAAAAAAATTCACATTTGTATAGTTTACAAAAAGTTAAAGCCAGATTCCATCCTAAGGCATGCAACCACTGCCAGGTGATAACAGGTTTTAATAAGTGATGGTCCATCTGGTAACCAATCCAAACAGGCTTCCTCCCCCTTAGCCAGGTAAACTATACAATCTTACCATGCTTAAACACTTAACTGTGTCTCTAACTGACAATTAAATATTTCCCAAATATTTTGAAGGAGGACTTTGTGAACTGTAACACAAAGTCATGTTGTGCAAAGAGAGAATAATTACATGTATGTCCGTCACCATAATATACAGCATTTTCCTTAAAATGGTAACAGAATTGATTTATAACTGGTAACAGGCTTCTTCAGCACAATGTGCAAGTTTGTACATGTATCAAAAAAATGTTGTGATATGAAAAGAAAGTTGCTGAAGTTTCAGTTTATGAATAAATTATACTAAAATGTGGTCAAAAAGTTGCCTTCAAGTGAAATATTAGGCTGAATCAGCAACTTCCTTCAGCACCCACTTACGTGTCTTTTGCAGTACTTTGAAGAAAATGTACATTATTGTAACAATGAACAAGATCAGCTTCCATTTTGTTGTTGCCACAACAGCTACCTCACTGATGAATTTCTCTCCAAACACATGAACTCTGTTGATAGCTTGAACCAGACAATGGATACCAAGTCGGAAAAAAGTGTTCAAGTTGTGAACAGGGCTCAGTTGAAGCATTATCAAAGCCAAGTGTGCACCTTAAGGGGAAATATAAACCACTTTCCAACAGTTCTATGAGAAGATTGGAAGGGGAAAGAAAAAAGGTTCTTACTAGGAACATGAGTGATCTACAACAAAGGAAACATTTTTGTTAAAACAGGAGAACCTGGGAAAATAATAGAGAGAAAAGAGAGAAAAAACTTCACAGGTTCTTGAACACTGAAAAACAGTGAAATTGACAATTTAAGAACACATTTTTCCTTCCAATTCCTGTGTTATGAGCCCTTGGCCTTTGTTTTAGATTCCTTGAGCTAGGAGAAAATTCTTAGAAGAAGTAAAATTTCCCATTTTACTAAATGTTCATTAAAAGTAAATTTTTTTGTTTTTTAAGTAATAAGTAAATTATACAAAATTGATTTGTTAGACTGAATTCATCATATGCTAACGAGTTTTTCACTAAATGCTGATGAGAAGAATAATTAAGAACACATGTGAACATTAATTCAATCAATCAATGCTGCAAAGGGTAATGATTCTCACTGGGTGGTGGTAAAAAGTCACAAAAATCAGCTAAAAAAGGCAAGTGTATTCAAAAGCACTATACATGTGCGTGTACATCCATGACCTTTTGGCTCAACAGAATGTTCTTGGTTCTTTTGTGGTGACAAAACCACTTTTTTGAACAGTCTAGTACATTCTAACATGTGTTTAACATTCTTGTGGCTGGTTTGAGAGATTCAAGTGCTCACAACTGTTCTTGATGGTTCTTCTCATTATCATTTGGTAACAAACTCATTAGCAAGTAACTAATGTGAATTATTAAGTAACTAAGTGAATTAAAAATTAATTTGTATTTGTGATTTTAGCAGTTTCCATCTCTGTTCTATCTATATATCTATTTCTGTGTCTTTCATTCCCTCTTTTGTATTGTAAACTTCATTTATAGAATATTGTTGTTTATTGTAAGCAATGTTGTGTGAATAATCCATTGTATGTAATGTATTGTTACCAGGTTAGAAACTGTGTATTATAAACCTTTGTTAACAAGATATTGTAAAAAAAAGAAAAAAATAGGTTAAAAAAAGAGAAAGGAAAAAATAGCAAAATTTCCTGCTTTCAAAATCATTCTCTCTTGCTTTTTATTATTTTTTTTTCTTAATAGAAAAAAAAAACTTAGAAGGATAAGAGATCAAAATTAAAAATCCTAATGCTGGAAAGATTCCGAGCTAAGCTCGAAAAAATAAATTAATTTATGAGACAACTGAAGAAAGCTTGGAAGTCCAAGGAGATTAAGTTGGCAGTCATGTAGCACAGAATTGCTGTACTCGTGACATATTCCTACTCTTATTTAACTCCTAATTTGTGCAGGTACTTTCTGTTTATTAGCTCCTTGAAACAAACAGTAATTACGCAGAACCCCTTCAAATAATTCTTCTGTTCGCCAAATAAAACGGAAGAAGAAAATTGCTAATTTTTCGAGTTTTTCTGTTGTCAAAAATCCGGAAAACTAAAAGCTATCTTTCTTGCATTTATAAAACACAAAAGCTGAACGAGAACTTTTAATTTGTAAGGTTTGCTCTTAATTAAAACCAACGCTTTCCTCAAACGGTAGTAATTCATCTTTGCAACGTGTAATCACGTTGCAAAGAAAGATACTAAAAGCAATACTTGCTAACACTTTTTCGAGTATCAAATTCACAAGCTTATTTTATGCCTTACCTTAAGATGGATTAAATAACTGTGAATTTCTTTCAAACTCCATGCAGAGTGAAAGGAAAAAGCGACGGGCTCGCACAAAATGAACATAGTCAACCTTGAAAATTGCTACACATTGATAAACACAACTTTCCCGCCACAGACGCGGGTTACTACAACCTCGTTTCCAAGAGTTCGACGAATTCGGAGAGAGACTGGGAAGAGAGAAATTTCAAAGATGGCGGACAGATTGAGACGATTGACTTGTTATAACAGTGTTGTTAAGGCGTAGATTTACCTTTAATTTTCGATATGGACTCGCAAGATTAACTTTCAAGTCTCTCATGGTATTGATCCCCGGATAAAATGGAGACAGAACAAGAGAAAGGCCCAGTGAGTATAGTTCGTGTTTTATGTCAAAACCTGAAGCTATGTTAAAGTAAGCACGAGTGATGAATCCATGCACGTGCTTTGCTAAGCCTGGTTTTCATATGTTAAGAAAAACCCAGACGATCAGCGATATCACCGTTTCACAACCGTCCCATGATTTGCCGAAATATTGAGAGATCGACACACTACTTTCCCACATAATTTCGCACGACATTTTTATTTGTGACTCGGCGGCATTGAAGCCAAACGACTAAAGGAATGGATTAGACTAGCAAGGAGAATAGAAACGTTCTCAATTTTCCCGATTTGTCGCTGACCAGCTCAGACAGTTGGCGATTCCAACGATTTAATTTGTGGGAATAATCAGAGACAGTTGGGGAACACTGAAATAGAAAAACCTGACACATGAAAACCAGGCCCTAGATTATCACCAAACAAGAATTTATTTATGTAAGATCTTATTTATTATGATATCTTATTGCAATCATGGCAATCCCAATGTTGGAAAGAATGGCTTCTTGTTAGATAGCTATCCTCGATGGCTGTATGTTCTGTGCATGTATAGCTGTGCATAATTGGACCAAGGCGTGTTAGTTTACACAAACAGGACTTATGACACTAGAATGACAACAACTACTCACTTGATTCAGATGATGACTCCCTCTCAGGGTGTTGAAATGTCAGTCACCACTACCCACAACCATCCTGTTAATACTTTGGATAAACTCATGGAACATTAATCAGCACACTCATTTATTTCAATCACTTCTGTTCCATATAAAGCAAAAGGTCAACTGAAGTAAATCATAAAATGCTAACTGATCCACTGTACTTACAAACCTGAAGTAATATTGAAAAGGGAAACAATGTAAAATGAATTTACTTACCAACATTCATGGTTCTAGTTGTCATGAGGATATCCAAACGTGTGAGATCACTAACTCAACTATGACCGCAGTAAAGAGTTTGCTAACTCAACTGTGGTCACAGAAAAGAGTTTCAAAGCTGACAGTTTGTGCGTTAACTTTGATGAAGGACTAAAACTCAAAACATCAGCTTTGAAACTCTTAAAGGTGGCCAATTTACATATCAACTCAGTTGATACTACTGAATTACCCTGTTGTACTTCCCTACTGATGCAGCACCACAGTTTCTTTAGAAACTTAGCCCCTTTAATCATTCACCAATCAAGGTACATATACTATAGGATGATAAAGACTATGACATCATTGTAACACATCCTTCTCAGAACCACTCTCACCTGAACAATCAGACTACATGTAGCTACACATTCAAATGTTATACCTGTGATTAAACCTGAATTGAACTAAGGTGGGTGTTGGTTAGCTGATATTAACTTAAAAACTTCATGTTTTAGCCTGAAGAAAGGCAGCAATGGAAACTTGAAAAGGACTCAGAATTACGTATTGAAATCCCAGAGGGAAAAGGAAAAGCACAACTTGTGGTAAGCAATGCAACTGTTCATGTATATACAAAGTAAGACAATCGAGTAGTCTTGATGGTCAAACTGTCATGCGATTTGCATACTGTGTGCCTACATGAGTACTCAGTGTGTCAAAAGTTAGATAGTAAAAGTCAAATTTCTGGCACTGGAGATGTGAGATAGCCTGGCCTCTAAAACTCAAAACAGGGTATAATTCTGAAAAAAAAGTAAGTGAACTAGCATTGGCAGGACTTCTCAGTGGGGTAAGCAGTGAAGGGATTGAAGAGAGAGTATTGTTTTGACAGCTACTCTGATAAAGTTGTGGTGGCAGGCCTGTGCACATACAAGACTAAAATCCAAGTTATAAACAACATTTGAGCTTTCATCTGAATTGGTAGAGTTCTTTTTTTTTTTTTTACAAATACCCTTCACAAATGAGAAATTAAAAAATGGTAGCTTAGGAGACATTGTTTAGATTTGAAGAAAGAGCCTGCCTGAAGGAGATTTCTCTGCTTAAAGGAACCTGATAACATAATGCTCTTCCTCAATTTTTAACCCTTTAATTCCCATGAGTGACCAAGTCATAATTTTTTGTTACAATATCAGTACAATATCAAGCAGACAAGTGATAACAATAAAGAAAAATATAGATTAGGGGATTATAAGTTGATCCAATACCAAATTCTCCAAATTAACATCATAAGAACTGTATGGCAAACAGTAAGGAGAATTAATAATGAGATCTTGGGATTTAAAGGGTTAATTGGTTTCTCATTTCATCATGTTTTGTTAGTTGAAGTCACTTTTACTTTTGAGCAAAGGAGTAACAAAAACAATCAATGCAAAATTTACAGATGTTTTTCAATTAGTTACAACAGTAAAAATATAGATGTTCTTACCATAACCTAAATAATTGATATGCAAAATTAACCCAGCCTTAAACTTCCACAGTGATTAATATATATTAACTTTGTATAATATCCACACATTATCCTGCAAACAGGTAATGAAAATATTCAAACTTATCAGGTAGAAGTTGTTGTTTTGATCTAACACCAAGTTCTCATAACTAATAATATTATTCTCAAAGAGATGTAATAATAATAATAATAATATTTAATACTTATATTGCGCTTTTTCTATAAAAATACTCAAAAGCGCATTACAATATTATTAAAGATTAAATTAAAACCAGTAAAATTACTCGGTAAAATTACAATATTACAATATTAACATTACAATATTAAAAAAATAAAAATAATAAAAATAAAAAATAAATAAATAAATAATCTAACTAAAAGCCTTTTTAAATAAATAAGTTTTAACAGAGCGTTTAAAAGAGTCGATTGATGTTTCCTGTCTAATTGGCAGAGGAAGACTGTTCCATAAAAAGGGGGCAGCCATCGATAACGCGCGATCTCCCAAGGTCTTCTTTGTTCTTAGCTGAGGTCTTTCTAACAATATACCATTATTGTTACGGCGTAGTTGGTAACGTGAGACCGGTAAGACAGAGACAAGATCCTTAAGATAGCTAGGCGCAACACCGTGAAGAATCTTAAATGTAACAAGGAGAAGCTTAAAATCTACGCGCGAGCGCACTGGTAGCCAGTGGAGTTCTCTTAGCAAAGGAGTAATGTGTGACAGCTAGAGGGGAGAATTAACAATCAGATCTTGGGAGGGGTTGAATTATTATCTCTCTGCTTCGGTTTTTGTCAGTATCTTTAAATATCCCATGATCTTGGTGCTGGGAGCTAGTCAGCTGCTGGTATATTCACTAAGCCTTTACCAGATAAAGGCATGTTGAAAAATAGAACCCTAAAAGTATACAGGAAGGTGTACTTTTTATTCATTGAATGTATACAAGACAGTTTTCTTTCCCTTTACTCATTGTAGCTGCTACAAGGTCAAGGTGAGGTGTTTGGAACTGAACTGGTGAGAAACAAGAAGTTCACTTTCAAAGCTGGATCAAATGTTGCAATTTTTACTTGGCATGGTTGCACTGTAGAAATATCCTTTCCTATTTGTACTGATCTTTGATGTAGGCTCCAAATTCAATGAAGCCAGTTGGTGACTCACATATAAGATGATAAAGGGTCATCAGAGAGAAGTTAAATGCAAAACTCTTATAATTGTAAGTCTCTTAAACTGAGCATGAAAATTGCATAAACAGATTCAATCTTATACTCTTGTGCTAAAACTGTAAATGTTTTGTTCTCACTTATTTAGGGTTTGTCATTTAAACTGTTGATTTTGATGTTGCAAACTGCCGCTTCAGTTAATTACCCATAAAATTAATTGTCCCTTTAAATAGAATTTACTCCTTGTTCTCTTTTCACTTACTGTGAACAATTTCAAACAGAATGTACATGTATTAGGGCACATCTCATCTGCTTCATTTTTTTCACAATTCTGGGAGAAGCATGCTGCCATACCTCCAGTAGGTGATGCTTGGGGCATCTCACTCTTTGCCAGCAAATCAAATTAAGAGCTCTTTAGGTGACACCAGAGAAAGAGAGGGGAAGGAGCATTGCACAGTGTGATTTTAAGTACTCTTCCATTGATTGCACAGTTTGTCTTTGAAAACGCATGCATCATAGCTGAATACATAGCTGACAATCTGAGGCTTAATACTTGGGAAAGCTACATGAAAGAGGCAATTTTAATGAAAGAAAGCAACAGAGTATTCATATTATAGTATGAAAATGTTTCTCTCATATTAGACCATAATTCCCAAATTAGAAAAATAGGGGTATTTGCATTTAGTACATTCAATTATTTGCACAGTTAGGTTTCATAACATTTCTAACTGTGTTTTCCATAACCACATTCAAATCTCTGGTCCTGTTGATGCATATGTCTCTAAAGAGACACCAATGGTAATGTACTTGAATCTTCACATGGGACTGGAACAGATGAGACAGAAGGCTGAAGCTGTTGATGAACCAGAGACTGGTCCAAGGGTGAGTCCTCTTTACCCAATTAGCCTTTGACCCTAAAGAGTGACTTAAGAAATTATGTTTTGCATTGCAACATAAAAAATTTCAAAAATATATAATAGGCAAGCCCTGGATGTTAGTAAGGAAAGCTCATGCATTATAATTGAAAAAAAGTATAGAAAGTTGTGAAAGATGTGATTAACCATTTAACACTCAGAAATGATTAACAAGTAACTTCTCCTTATAAGACCCTCACATTAACCAGCAAGCAGTTAATGAGAATACTCAAATTGATCAGGTAGAAGTTGTTATCTTGATGTAACACCAAATTCTTGTGACTAATTTACAAGGAATTGTGTAGCAGCTAGAGGGGAGAATTAACACTCAGATCTTGGGAGTTAAAGGGGTTCAATAGACAAATGGATAAAACTGTATTATAATATTATTCTTTATAATTGATACCCAGGTGATGGTTGCTGGCCCAGTTGATGTTGGGAAGTCAACACTCTGTAAACTTTTGTCGAATTATGCTGTTAGATTGGGAAGAAGACCAGTATTTGTTGATCTGGATGTGGGTCAGGTATGAAGTATAGTACTTGACTTAATTAAAATTTTTAAAGAAAGATATGCATTGTTATTAATCAGTCAGAGTACATGTACTTTCACAAATGCAAGACATATGTAGTTTTGAAGAGTTTTTGTGTCCGTGGAATTTCAGTTGGTTATCTGGAAAAGCATGATATCGAACACTAACTCTTTAATTCCTATGAGTGACCAAGACATAATTTCTCCTCACAACATCAATACAATTTCAATTATGCAAATGATGAGAATGAACAAAAATATCAATTAGGGGAGTTAAGTTGCTCTAATACCAAATTCTCCAAACCAATTTCAGCAGAATTGTATTGCAGAGGGTAAGGAGAATTATTAATAACATCTTGGGACTGGAAGGGTGAAGGACAATCTTGTAATTTGCCTGGGAATGGAATGTTATGTATATTTTAGTCAGAGTAACTTTTTTTTAATATGGTATGTTGTTGTACATAAATCTCTGCAAACTTAAGAGAGTTATTTCCAAGCAAGTACTACTACATGACTTTTTAATAAAATTGTGTAATCTCCAAGTATTATTTCAAAGATCCGTGCAATTTTTTTCCATGTAGGGTTATATTGGCATCCCAGGCACAATGGGTAAGTACAGTGAGACTATTTTGTATACCCTTTCCCATTTTATTTAGATTCTTGACTGAGTATTGAAATTTTATGGACAGTGAACATATGTGTAGCAGACCAGATAACCTCTAAGAGTGAAAAGGTTAATCTTGAGTCTTTGGTGTCATGATTGTTGAGCAGGAATTGAGGCTTGATTTTTCTCCCAAGTTATATGATCCAAGATTTTTGAGACATGATTTCTGCAAACAATTTGATGAATCAAATGAACATACATAATTTACTTTCTTTTGAATAGGTGCTCTTTTAATTGAAAGACCTGCTGACATTGAAGAAGGTGAAGTATTCCTTTTTAAATCAACCGTTTTACCCTTAAGAGTGTTCATCATCTAATTTCTACGTACAATATCACCCCTGAATCGTGTGTTAAGGTCATGAGAATAAAGGAAATGATCACCAACTAAAAAAACCTCCTGATTGTTAAACAAATTCTCCCTGTAAGTAACCATATTTTTGCAAGGAAATGTATAGAGAACAGTATGGAGAATATGCATACTGATGTTGGGGTGTAAAGGGTTAACATTATCTATTGTAATTTTTAGATTGTTTCAGTCAAGACTTACTATAATTGTTATGATAAATTTGTGACATTATGCAGACAATTTTATAGCAAATACTTGTTTTCTGGGAATTTCAGGATTTCCACTTCAAGCACCACTAGTTTATCACTATGGTCACGTGTCACCAGCTCCCAGTGAAAAGCTTTACAACAAGATATCCAGCAAAATAGCTGAAGTCACAAAAGAGAGGTTTGAAAAGAACAAGAAGGGTAGGTGTGCTTCATAAAATGTACAACTGACAGTGTACATGTAGTTAACCAGTAAGTAAATAAGTCAGTTGCTCCAGTGCAGATACTGTACATGAACATGCACAATAAATGCTGACATCTAATCCTTTGGTTTTTGCAGGTGCTTTAATTTCTGTTTATTAGCTTCTTGAAATAAATTTTAATTGCAAACAACCCCTTCTAGTGTTTCTTCAGTGAGCCAAATAAAATGCAACAAGACTATTGCTACTTTTTTCAAGTTTTCCTGTTGTCAAAATTTGGAATACTAAAATGATAAAAAGCTCATTTTCTTGCATTTATTATAAAGCACAACAGCTGAACAAGAAGTTTGAATTAATAAGCTTTGCTTTTAGTTTAAAGCAATGGTTTCAAACAGCTGTAATCCAACAAGGTCATCAATATATGGCAACATGATTACATCAAAGAAAGATACAAAAAACAATATTTACTCACAATTGCATGAGTATTAAATACACAAACTTACTTTCAATGAGAACCAGGCCTCCCTGAAGTAGATGGTTTGGTGTTTCTGATGCATTCAAGGGTACTGTGCATTATTGTGCAATTACTGATTTGATCTTGAAATTTGAGTGAATTGTATATGGGTCTTGCACAATTTGTTACAATAACTGATCAAAAGGGGTTTGTCTCGTTGCAGCTCGAGTCAGTGGATGTATTATCAATACCTGTGGCTGGGTGACTGGAACTGGTTATAGAATTCTGGTGCATGCTGCTGAAGCATTTGAAGGTTAACAGTCAACCTGTTTTCTATAGCATTGTCTTAAGAACAATTTTTAATTGAGGGTCAAAAGTAATCAGGGACTGATTTGGTTTAACTTAACTTTATTCTGTATTTAGTTCAGAGAATTTGCCCCATCCCAGGCCTCCTCAACAATTGGATGCAAATTTAGATTAAAAACAATCACATCTTGGTCACTAAAAAGATATAGAAAGTTGTGATGTGATTAACCATTAAACACTCAGAAGTGATTAACAAGATACTTCTCCCTATAATGTCCTTACATTATCCAGCAAGCAGGTAATGAGAATATTCAAACTGATCAGTAAGAAGTTGTTATCTTGATCTAACACCAAATTCTTGCAACTAATTTACAAGGGATTGTGTAGCAGCTAGAGGGGAGAATTAACAATCAGATCTTGGGAGTTAAAGGGTTAAAAGGGATGAATTTCTTGGGTTGGAATTGGTATTGGTATTGGAGCTTCTTCTCACTCTGAGTTCTTATTGGCTAATGATAATGTAATCATTGTTCTGGTTGGTTTCTGCGATTACTTTGGTTTTAGTTCTCCAACACTCATTGAAAACTGCTCTTGTGTGTTAATCCTTGAACAAGTTCTTGTGATAGGTTTTCAGTGGTTGTTGTTTTGCTTTTATTTGGATTTTTTCACTTTTAGTGAATGTCATTGTTGTTCTTGACCAAGAGAGACTTTACAATGATCTAAAGAAGCAGTTTGGCAGCAAGGTTCAGATTGTGCATCTACCAAAATCTGGCGGGGTAAGTGACCTGTCTAATCTTTATAGAAATTGTTTAAATTATGACCCCAAAAATTCTTTTTGAAAATATGGTGCATTTAAGCTGTGAGCTGAAGTAAAAGTGAGTAAAACCTTGTATCTCTAACTTGTAGGTGGTGGTAAGAAGTCAAGAGACTCGCAGAGAAACAAGAGATAACAGAGTGAGAGACTACTTTTATGGAATTAACTCCAGTTTTTATCCGCATATTTTTGAGGTCAAATTTGCAGACATAAAGATCTACAAGATTGGGGGTAAGTAAATTTTAATTTTGAATTTCCTTACTTATCACACAATAAGGTCACAAGAATAAAAGAAATGATCAACAACTGAAAGGAGCTCTTGATTGTTAGACAAATTCTCCATGTAAGTACTGTAGGAAATGTATAAAGAGCAGTAAGGAGAATCAGCATACTGATATTGGCCAGTGTTCAGGGTTGAAAATATTTGTTTTGTCTTTTTTAGTTTGTCTGCTAACCAGCTTCATTTGCTTTCATTTCTGAAACATTTCAGCCCCTGCTGTTCCTGATTCATGTCTGCCACTTGGAATGGCTCCAGATCAGAATGAAACCAAACTGGTCCCAGTTCAACCAGGTACAACTATTACAGATCATAAGGTCTACAGTCACATAATTTAAATTTGTCATTGTAAAAGGATTAAAGTATGTTACAGTAGAAACAGTTGCAACAAAAATGTGTTATCAATTGAAATGAAACAAAGATTGTGGAAATTGCAGAGAGCAACTACCATGATAGGTACCAAACTGGAAATGATTGAGGCACCTTGTCCACTTGAGATGGTTTTGTTTTTCCCGTAACTTTTTTTAAGTGTACTTTTTGCTGTCATGTGCTTAATCCACTATACTTGTACAGTTAAGTTCACAGGATGTTAGGTTTGTCCCTTTTTCTATAATTTAGGGACTACAAATTTATGAAAATACTCTCCAACTGTTCAAATAACTGTGCAATATTGTGTGATATTTTTGTTAGATATGTTTATTATTTGTACTCTTCTTAGGGTTGTCTTATAATGAAACATGTTCATCCCTACTTAAACCTCTTTCTCCCAAATCTTCAATTCCTTTGTTAAGAAAACTAGTAAGGAGCAAATTTGCAATAGGGTTCATGCCCATTCCATCTTATGGAATGGGCGTGAGGTTGAAGTGAGTACCTAAACATTTATTGTAATGTAGTTGTCTAAACTGGAGGAAAGGAGCACTGACTGATAACAAAGGACCGATATGAATTCTTCCAACCCATATTTTTACAGGACGTGATTTGAAGCACTGTGTGTTGGCATTGAGCGCTGCTGAATCACTAGAAGAAGACTTAGTTACAACAAACACAATAGGATTTGTTGTGGTGTAAGTACAAAATTATATACCTGGATTGCTTTTCACTAGAATTTGTCAATCCCACTTAGTGAATTTAGAGTCTGTTTCGATATTTCACAGTTTAATATTAAACAATTATTGTAGTACAAGCATTTACAGAGTAAGCAAAAATTTTGTTTTGTTTACATTCACAGAGCCTCATTCCTTTGTCTCATATTTTATGCTTCATTGATCCACTATATATACAGTTCCTAATTCAATAAACACTATCTTTTCCGCTTTACAGTAATGATGTTGATTTAGATCGTCAAATGATGGTGGTGCTGTCTCCAGCGCCAAGGCCACTACCAAGAAAGTTCTTCCTGCTCAGCGATGTCAAGTTTATGGACTTCAAATAATTTGAAGAAGCATGACATGTGTTACTGTTTCATGCAATTCTCGTTGACATCATTTATTTAGCTTCCAAGTCCTATTTCAGCAATTTCATTTGCTCATGCAACAGCATATGGCCTGCAAGTACTTTGAACTCACCAGTCTGTTGAATTGGAATAGGATTATCCATGCCAGTCTTGTTTGAGATCTTTCTTTCCATTTGGAACACAATGATGTTTTTATTGAGTGCT